ACGATTGGACTAAACCTTGGTTAAATGGCCATCTTATAGATTCGCCAATTCACAACTGTGAGGCACGCAGTAGCAGGCATGCAGAATACTCGAAGAGCAAAGGCTTGTATTTGAGTAGAGATCAGACGAATCGTTAAGGAGGAGGAATGGTCCACGCTAGTACTATGATCCGAAGGGTATTCGTGACAAAAACCCTGAAATTAGAGCGGATCGGCCGTCCTATCTCCTAGCTTGATCAAGGCATTTGTCTCATCATTTACCGAGGTCCTAGTAGCAAAATCTCAACACGTGGTTCTACAAGGAGATTAGGAAGCTATATAGCTACCTAGACCCTCGGCTCCCTCTATGAAAGGGATATAGAAAAGAAAAATATATCAAAAACAAATAGAACTACTGGGTAGGCTTAAAACTGTTCTTTTCAGAGAGCACGCTGCCTATAGGAGCTTTTGTATGAGCTAAAGCATTGCTATTCCAGAGCCGGTAATAACGTACAAGCTAGAAGTGTGGTATGTACTTCGTCCACTCTACAGTCTTAAAGGCCGACGGTGACAAATTTCGCAACCCAATAATATCCTCCACCAAAACATACCATCTCAAGATACAGTAGATTGAAAGGCCTGCTGTCATAGGAACAAGTACACGTAGATGCACTTTCAGTTGTGGGTCTAGCGGTGTCGAAATGTTACGGAGCTTCTTAACCACACTTCTACTTTGTTGATCTTGTTCCACGGATGGCAATGCTGTGTCCGAAGACGGCTTTTCCTTCTTCATCTTGCGCTTGCGAACGACATGCTCCATAAGCATTAGACAAACACCACTGATAAGGCCGCCAGTCATAAAAAAAAAGCCGGTGGTCATTCTCCACAACAGCCGCTCGATTGGTGTTGGGAAGGAGAAGTTCCACCCCGCTTAGTAGTGTAACACAGAAACCGAGTATAAATGGTGCGCTAAGGAGTTCACGGGGCAGGTCTGTCTGAAGCCATGCATCGCTCGGTATACGATCTCGAGGCTTAACAGTTACTGGACGAGAGTATACCGGTAGATGTAGGATCCTTAGTGTATAAGTATAGTATGCCCAAAGTTTGCTTAGCTCGCATTCTTCCCGCCCTGCGAAATCAAGAGGGGTGTGGAACCACTGGTAATTCAACAAGCCTTGCTACAATTGGTCAGCGTGTTCATAACAATTCTAGGATCTCTATAGTGTTACAAATGTAGTTAGAACATTCCGCTCTGTTTCAAGCAGCATCGTCTCAGGACAGCGAAACTCTCGGCACTGATATTCTAACACAAAAGTAGCTCTTGAGGTGAGAGAAATTATCTTGAAAACTTTATACTTTCGTTATAGACCCCCGAAATGTGTTTAGAGGCCTTGATGCGCTGTTGAACAGGGGGGGTCATTGCTAAGCGGACGATAAATGGCAAACAATGAAATGATCAACGATATAGCCCAACATTCAAGAGATCTGCGTCAGAGACTGGTTCAGTGAAATCAGAATGGCTTATAGACTCATAGGCTCATTAGGTCAAACTCTATCAGTAGTACACACAACGAGATTCCGGAGGTCGAATTTGTAGAAGTGTCTCGCGACAGCGTGCGTCTCGCATCGCAGGGACTGACCTTACTATATAAATAAGTAATAATATATACAACATCTCAAACCTCACCCCACATGCTCAGTCGAAAAGAAAAAGGGCTATATACAAACAACAACAACAACAACAACAACAACATCAAGAAACTTTAAATCTTCTGCATCTCAAAACTCTTAACCGTAACACTGCCGCCAAGCGCACTCGTGGCAAAGTTAAAAACACCATACCTAAACCCTGTGAAAAACTGCCACGTATTCGCAAGGCCAAACGACGGTCCCAGCTGCTTATACGAAGAGCCATCCGTACTATACCAAAACGTCGCCTGGCGCTGCGTATTCGTTCCAAAGGCGGGCGTAATATCCGCCTGGATCCTGAGATACAAGTCTGTAGAACCGGCGGGGATAGCGGGACCGGTAGCGACCACCGTGCCGGTGGACTTGGTGGTGCGGTCGGCGTTGAGTTCGAGGCCATTGACCATGACGAGGGAAGTTGTGGAGCCGGACTTGTGGATGCCGATGTAGGCGGCTGTGTCGCGGAAGAGGACGGCACCGGCGCGGTCGCCGCTCGCCATCTTGCTAATGTCGAGGCGGAAGGTGCCCGAGGACTTGGGGCCGATGATGCGGTGCGTCAGGGTGTTGCGCGCGCCGTAGAGGTCGTTGGTTACGGTGGCGGTGGAGAGTTTGAGGCCGCCTGTGCTGCCGCCGAGGAGGCTGAATTTGGAGGTGTCAGGGTTGTGGTTCCATTCCCATTCTGCGCTGAGGGAGGAGCCGGTGAATTTGTCGATGCCGGTGAGGGCGGGGACGGTCTTGCTGGTGGTTACGGGGCTCGGGTAGGAGGCGCCCCAGGCGTTGTTTACCTTGACGACGGAAGGCCAGCCGTTGCTGTCGAAGGTGAGGGGTGCGACGACGGGGATGCGGCCGGCGGGGTAGGAGTCGAGGAAGGCGACGTAGTACCATTTTCCGTCTTTGGTGTCGACGACACCGCCCTGGTGGGCGTGGCCGGCGTTGGAAAGGGGGCCGGAGATGCTGTCGACGAGGATGCGGGCTTCATAGGGGCCAAAGGGGCTCTTGGATTTCAGGACCCATTCGTCGTCGGCGGGCTTGGTCGAGAAGATGTAGTACATGCCGTTGATCTTGTACATGCGAGATCCCTCGAGAGTGAGGCCGTTGGGGTCGCGGTATACCTCTTGGTTCTTCACTTCGGCGGTGCCGTCTTTGTTGAGTTGGGCAACGCGAACGGCAGGGTTACCATACACGACGTACATGGTGTCGTCGTCATCGATGAAGATGCCGTTGTCGTAGTAGCATTTATTAATGCTGCCCGCCGAAGTCCAGTTCCAGCTCGAGACCTCGCCGTTGTTGGCAGCGGCGTTTTGGCCGGGGGCTGTCCAGATATATGTCTGGCCTGTCGATTGAACGCAGCCCATCCAAATGAACTTGTCGCTCGACTTGCGGTACCGCAGCGAACTCGCCCAGATACCCTTGACATAGGACCGTGTAGTCGGGTTTGGCATATCATATGGAGAGCCGAAGTTCAGTCTTGGTACACTGTGAGTGACGGGCGTCCAGTTCACCAGATCGTAAGACTTGAGCACCTGTATAAAGTTAATGACATGATTCAAAACTTGCTAGAACTCAATGCCTACGGGAGCTCCTGGACTGAACGCAAACGTCGACGACGAGTAATAGAATACATCCCCGATTCTGAAAACGTCAAGATCAGGATAATCTTGGTATATAACAGGGTTGTTAAAGGTGGTCGCACGGCTCGACAGCGCACGCTTGTCTGATACGGGGCCTGCAACAGACAAGCCGGCCAAGAGCAATGATAACGAAGAAACTGTAGAAACGCGCATGGTGTCTGAGATGGAGAAAGCGATTCACTCGTCTAGTCGAAAAGCACCAAAGAAACAGGATCCGGGGCCAATTTTATCTATTTAACAAAGTAGCCCACCCCATTTGTAACCCAAGCGTTCCTTTCGCTCCAAATTTCTCCACATGAGCAATATTGTTTTAGTGGCTAGTTAGCACTATGTAGTCGGTGCCGCACAAAACGCACTAAACAACTACCCAGATCTTCTAAAAACTCCCGAAATCACGATATTAAAAAAAAAGCACGGGACGCAATGCTGCGGCTCCACGTATGGGGTTCACCGCACCAGTCTGCGCACGCTCGGTATTGGTGCAGTGGCGGCCCTGAATTCTTCCGTTAGCGGGCGAAACAAGCAAATGATTAACGGAAGGGGGTTTTGCCTTTCATTACCGCCGGCTATGGTGAATTGGACCCGCATCATCATTCATCATTCCGTGGAAAGGGAATGGGAGGCGGGGGCGCGCGCTATGCAGATCAGATAGATTTGCTATTAGTAGAAAAGATCCGTGGGCCCGTCGCCGCCATCGACTTGTCATGCGGGGTTGAAACAAGGAGTCGGGGACAATGAATAAGCTTGTCCTCTCGGATGTCTGCCGCCAATCACGGCCTTGGCCTTTGGAGCATCTCTCCTTCCCGTGCCGTCTCCTTGTTCCGACTGCGCAATTTCAATGTTTCATTATGTCAGTCTAGCTTCGGATACACTTTCGTGCGCTCATGCTGTGCGCAAGAGAAATAGATGATTGTGGCTTATCGCAAGAATTTCCTTGCGTCTTTTTTTCTTCTTCCTTGTCGAGATACTCTGTCTCAGTTACATTGGGTTCATGCGTGTGGGTTCATCTTGTGAACGTGCACAAGGTGTTTTGCGAACGATTGCATGGCCATCATGCAACGAAGTAGTCGATGCCAAGTACACTCAAGGAAAGCTTAATCAAGTACAGGCGCAACACGCTTGTATGGCAGTTACTAGCAGGATGCATGCATGTGTATAAGAGACAGCAGATGGACTTGTCAGTGTTCGAGTGACATCGCGTCTGACGTCGAAGCTTTTCCGTAACACACTTAAGCATATGTCTATTCTCACGCTAAGAAATGTCAGCTGTTTCAGAACACATCAATCATTTGGACCGTTTTCTGTTCTAACTATATTTCTCTAGTTAGCATCAAGACGTTTGGGCTTGTTAGGCATATTGGTACGAGGATTTATCCGGACTCGAACTCTAAAGAGAAAAAAAACATGAAGCGACAGGTGCAGGCTCTACACAGTAGTATTCAGTCATGTCCAATTTCATCATGTTGTTGCGATTCTTTATCGAACCCCTGGAAACGGCCCGGACGGCAATTGCAGTACAAGCTTAAAGTCGCGGCGTTATCTCGCTATAATACTATCAACTAGACTCGTCTAGAAGCCCGAAAACCCACCTTAGCGTAGCTGAAACGAAACACGACTTAGAATCCCAGGATAGCATCGGGCTGATCTTCAGTCGCGCTTGTACCAGAGTGACATACACGCGTAACATCCATGGTCCACGGCATGCTCAAACCTTTGGAAGAACCTTCTTCAATACTTCGACCAGCCCTTTGATCTCTTCCTCAGTATTGTAATGTACCATACTGACTCTCGTAACATAGCCTTCAGGGTCTAACTCGAGGATCTCGTCGCACAATCTCTTCGAGTAAAAGTGTCCCCATCGAAAGCCGTAGTTGCTGATTTTTTCGGCTTCAGCCACAACTTGCTTACTGTTCATGCCCTTGACTACAAACGAAATAGTTGGAACCCTGACTTTACTGTCCGCTGATGATGAGCCCAGAACCATGATATCAGGGCGCGAATTGAGGAAGTCGAGGAGGATTGTTTGCAGTTTTCCCTCGTGTTCTGTAATGGCAGGGAAGGCGCCAGAAAGGTACGAAGTGATTTGTGGAATGGACTGAACACATTCGTAGTTTGACCCAGCAAACCCAATCTTATCCTCAAGCGTCTTGGTAGGATTGAAGTAGTGTGCCATGGGTTTCATGGCCTTTTGTCCTGATTCGCTGGCGTAAAGTACGGCGATGTGAGGGCCATAGACCTAAGGTTCTCGTTAGCACATGCCGGTGAGGCAAAAGTTTGAACAAGGGCTGATGACCACGACATACCTTGTACCAGCTGAACGCATAAAAGTCTACCCCAAAAGCCTTCACGTCAACCGCACGATGCGGCGCATAACTTACGCCATCCACGCAGAACAAGGCACCGACTTCATGTACCGCATCTGCAATCGACTTGACATCATGTATCGTGCCCAAAATGTTGCTTACATGCGTGCAAGCAACAAACTTTACCTTGTCGCTCAAGAGTGGCTTCAGATTCTCTGCTGTGAGCTTGAGTCCATCTTCCTTGCTAGACGCCCACCACTTCACAGTAAGCCCAAGACGGTCGGCCATCAGAAGCCACGCCTTTACGTTGGTCTCATGCTCCATCTTTGATAGAATGATCTCCGATCCCGCAGGGAACTGTAGCGTCGAGCCAAGATTGACAAATAATTGAGTGGTAGAGGAGCCGAGGACTTTTAATAGTTAGAGAGACAAGTATGCGTAATATATCAGGGATGTTACCTATTTCATCGCGACCAGCATTGATGTACTTTGCGGCGGCCTGGTAGCCTTCCTCATACTTCGTGTTGGACTGTGTGCCAGTGTGGTATGAAGCGCCAAGCTGCACATTTGTCTTGCTGAGATACTGTGATATGCTTCATAGGATTTAGTAATCGTGCTGCCTCTATATATGCGGTATACTCACGAATCAATCACTTGGTCCAGCGCCTGACTACCCCCCGCGTTATCAAGAAAAACTTGATCTTGCTGAAGAGCCGGGAAGCGCGACCGCGACTTGGAAATGTCGAAAGTCATTGTGAAAAAACGGGTAGCACAGAAAAGTAAGGTAGGAGAAGTTGGAAAGGAAGTTTATCAGGAAGGTTGATGTTTGAAGTGGAACTAAAGTATACCTACACTAGCCGTGCGCCCTATGTAGATAATGCGGGGCTTTCCTCAATGGAGCAGGTGCTACGTTACGCAGTGCCGCCACTGCCCCACGTAGCTTGAAAACATTCACGAGATGTGTCTCCGCAACCACATGATATGCAGTGAAATATCATATTCTACATTGGGAAGATGCAGCGTATGCAAGACATTACCTCGGCGTTACTTGCATGAGCTTCTCAACTAGCCGAAATGATGGAGTAAAAGTCAATCGACATTTCCCTGTTATCATGTATCCCATAGCGATGCCGATGGATTTCCAAATAAGGACAATCCGCCTTAGTTTCCGAACATCCTCGGCCGCGTATTATGAACGAAATTATTGGGCCATGATGCACATATGTTGTATGTGGAGTCGTTGGCAGGTAGAGGTCTCTTAATGATGAATAACCGCGCTTGGAATCAGCTCAAAATATAAAGGGAAGAGGAGTTGTTCTGACATGCCGAGTTCAATCATCGGACACCGGCGGACGTTTCGACAGCATTAGTTGCTGAGGGTTCATAATGGATTAAATGCATTGAAAACTGGCCAAGGGACCCGGAACTCAAAAGCCGATTTGGGAGACCTTCTGATAAAAAAATACTGGGAAATGTCAAAACAGCTGTCCAATCTCTCTTTTGTGAAAAAAAAGGTTTTTGTCACTCGGCGGCTTGCACAGAGACTGTGTGCTCGTCTTCATCACAATATATGATGCGATTCAGCTGATGCAAAGTATCTTGAAATCCATCTAACATATCAAATTAGAATTTCTGAGATCATAGAGGGCTAGTTGTACATAGCTGAGGTTGTAAAATGATTCATCTATATCGCAGGCGCATTTGCACCAACCAGCATCTTCCCATTGGTATTAGGATCAAGACTAACCCTTTTGTGTGCTAGCTCTAGCTGGTATCTCCGCTCCACATACGCATCCCGACATCTGCTTCCATCAACTACCATCACCCATGAATCCTAAGATCTGCAAATCCTCAAATCAAGTCATGGACAGCCTCGTTTCGAGACACACGTCCAAAGGTGAGTACTTCCAAGACACTCCTACGGCATTCATCGGTTAACGTGGCATCCCAGGCAGCAGCATGAAGTCGCTTTGTGATCTGCCAAATGAGATATTGTTACAAATCTTCTCATACGTAGATCTGCATCGCGAGACACGTATTCTGGGCTACATACCCGATGAGCCTTTGCCTTCTTGGCCAGATAATGACCTGCTTAGAGATTTTCGCCTCCACAATTCCTGGCTGCTTAACATTGCTTTGACATGCAAGCGATTTGCAGCTTTAATCCCAGAGGTAACATTACGTATGATCGTACTGGAAGCCTTTTCAGTATCTGTGCAGCCTGAGAGCCCTCAGCTTGGTTGGTCAGCTCCATTCGCTCTCCTTTTTCAGTACAGGGAGAGGCCGGATCTCATTCAACAAATCAAACAACTTCGTATCCATCTTCCATATACCGACGAGCACGACAGGTATCGTTCCGACAATAAGGGAATGGCCAAAATGCTAGCTTCATTGAGTGTACCCTCTGCTTGGAAGTTCAAACTTTTTAACGACATCACAACTAGCTTTGGACGAGGTACATTTAATGCCCTATTAGCGGTAGTAGAATTGGATGTATTGTGCGTCTCCGACTCAACCGAAGAACCAAAACTCGAATGGGCAGAACAGCTCTCAGTCTCACCGTTCACTCCCCCGATTATCCGCTCGCTGAGATACCTTAAGATTGAAACTAAACTACCTCCCAACATTCAACCAGTGGAGATCTTTCAAAAGCTGAAGACTGTTGATTTAAGTATCGCACTTTGCAACTCAACACCAATGGATATAGTATCAGCGCTAGAAAAACTTGCGAACACCGCGGTAAACAGCATAAAGCAACTGCGTCTTAGTTTCGAAATCAGAACAATCGGAATGTGGAACAGTACGAAGCGAACCTGTATGTCGGATGTAGTGAAAGGCTTCCAGAATTTGGAGAGTCTCGTATACTATACCGAATCGTCGGTAGCGAAGAATCCCTATCGTAGTCTTCGCAGTTTCCCCAATCATCAAGCGAACATCCAAATATATCCTGAGGTTTCACAGTCTCCGCAATCGGGTGAAGGTTACTTGCGTACGCCACGCCACGTCTCTCTCCTCAATTGAATCAACTACTAACCACCACAAAAGACCACACTATATACGAGGCACGCACAACTATCACCGACTACCAATGCCTTGTCGACAACCTCGTGCACCTACGCCAGTCTCTGAAACACTTGCAACTTCCAGGCGGCTTTTGGACGCTACCTGGCGCGGCTCGCAAGCCGATCCCGCGTTTCGATCAGTTTACGCAGCTTCAAAAATTGACTGTGCCACAAGCGGTCCTTATCTCCATCAAACTGGATAACATGCAGGTTGACACCGTCTCCCAAGGCGACTTTGAACTTTCTGCTTCAGAGGTGTTACCGGTGTCACTACAACATCTCACGGTCTTCGATCTCGATGAGACGTTCTTGGGGAGCAAGTGGCTAGAGGGATTATTCACTGAGCAGAAGAGCCACTTGCGATGGCCCAAGTTCCGCACCTTGGAGCTGTTGATGGGACCGACATTCTCTGATGAAATGCTGGAAGGGCTTCTGGCAAGGCGTATTAGTGCGGCATTCTGGGTGAGGGTTGATGAAGCCGGGTTCGATGTCGTCGTTGGGAGGGACGACTTGGATCCTTCGTTGCTTCCAGACTTATGGGAGTAGTATACACGCATACATATAAGGAACCTCAAACTCCTAGCATATTTGACAATCATATATAGTTAGCATTCGAGATGTCTTTCACAGACCAGAATCCCCCTTTATCGAGCAAGAAAAACTTGTATTTGCACATTTTTCCCCACACCACTCGACCAAGAAACAAATCACATTCTCGTAAGAATTTGAAAGTAGAGGGAGTTTCGGATTATTCAGTGAATTCATATATACACGTATAGACATTTATGTAGCAGAAAGCACAGTCATATGGAAACGTAAAGTTATGCCAGCAGAAACGCCGCGCTCATCATAATCATGAATTCTCATAGGTATCGTCTAAGTTACAGAAAACAAGAAGAAATACAAAAAATCTCAAAGCAACAAAAAGGCTGTTACAAAAAAAAGCCCTCTATTCTATTGTTTCCCCACCCAGTTTAAGCCTTGGTCTCAAAAGTGCGGGCCTCAAGGTCCTTCTCAATAGAAATAGAGTCAGAGTCGGGAGCAGCCTGCTCGGTACCGACGTGGGACTCAGTGTAAGCATCGAGCTCCTTGCCCTTTGCAATGTTGAGGTAGAGAGGGTACGACCAAGCGATAGCGAAGAAGCCAAGGGGGACGCACAGAGCCTTTCGGGTACCGATGATATCAGCGACGTTTCCGAGGACAACGGGGCCGACGGCGCCGCCGCAGACGGAGGAGACGAGGAAGGAGGCACCGCGCTTGGTGTGGCGACCGAGACCGCGGAGGGTGAGAGCGAAGATGATGGGGAAGATGCAGGACTCGAAGAAGAGGACGAGGTTGAGCATGCTGATGCCGCCCCAGTTTGTGCTGGTGGCGCTGCCCGTGTTGGTGCCGATGGCGGCGGAGATGAAGATCATGATGAAGGTTTGGAAGGCGAGGAGCACGTAGCGCGGCTTGCCGCCAAAGTACATGATACCCGCGGCGGCGAAACGACCGATGGCGAAGAGGGATTGCGCAATGGCGTAGAAGTTGGCGCCCTTGTGGTGGCTCTCGGTGGTGCTCAGTTGGGGGGAGGCCTCGGCGAAGTAGTTGATGTAGTAGGCTGCGCATCCGACTTGGCCGGCAACGTAGGAGAACTGTGCAAAGGTTCCCCAGAAGAGAGTGTACTGCTTGCTGAGGGGCTTGTCGACGTAGCCGTTGCTGGCGGTGGTCTCTTCCTGCTCGGCCATGTCGCTGTCGGTGACTTCGGGGATGTACTTTCCAGCGAAGAAGAAGACGAGGGCGAGAATGGCAACGAAGGCGGCAATGGCAAGATACACGTATTGGACGGCCTCGAGGGACTTTCCATCCTCTCCGACGTTCTTGAAGATGACCTGGGCGGCGAGGACGGGCGCAACGACGGAGCCAACAGCCTGGACGGACTGAGACAGCTCGAGACGGAACTCGGACCACTTGGGGGGACCGCAGACGGCAATGTATGGGTTGGCGCTGACTTCAAGAGTTGAGAGACCGGATCCGGCAATGAACATGGCACCGCAGAAACCACCGAAGGATCGCTTCACAGCCGCAGGCCAGAACATGAGCGCACCGACGCAGTAGATGCTGAGACCGAGGATGAAGGTCCATCGGTAACCGAACTTGCGAAGAAACCATCCAGAGTAGGTCAGAGGACCGATGAAGTAGGCGCCAAAGTATGCGGCCTGGAGTCCAGAAGACTCTCCCTGGGAGATGTTGAGCGCGACTTGGAAACGGGAGTTCAAGACATCGAGGAGTCCATATGCGAAACTGGGTAACAATGTTAGTTCGTTGTCTGGAATGAGAGAAATATGGAGGATGTTTGCTTACCCCCAGCAGAAGAAGAGCGAAGTGACCAAGGTGACGGGAAGGATGGATTGACGAGCAGTGAGGGCCGATGCTCCAGTGAGAGCACGGTTGTCGACTGATGCGCGGCGGACTTCAGCAACAGCAGTGGCAGGCTCTTGCGAGTCTTTCTTGCCAAAGAGACCCATGGTTGCGATAGAAAAATAGAGTCAAAGATATATAAAAAGTCAAAGATTGACAATCTGAGGGGGGTTCCCACACAATTAAGGAGAGAGATGGGTGTGAGAGTTGAAGACACAAGATCCGATGATGATGATTTCCTATTCAAGGGAGGATTCGGCATTCGAATATATACTGGGCATTTGCGCTCTATGCCCACCAAGTGGTTGAGGTCGCGACATGGGGCTGGTGCCATCCAGACTTGTTAGTTCCCCCGCTAGTCCATCGGTAGTTCGACGCCGACCTTGGGGAATAGCCAACCTGGGTGTTGGGGTAAACCAGGCCCTAGTTCATGTTCTAATGCCCTTGGTGCTAATGCATTGTCCCCGTATAGCTAACGCCCCCAGTCTCCGCAAATTTTCATCGGATGGAGGTTGTGGTAGGCTGGAGGGCTGTTAGGGCCCGCGCCATCCCTCCGAAAGTGCTGCCGATTGATGTCGGATGATGCAGAGTACCGGCCAATCGTGGGCGTTGCTTGGTGGCGCTAGAAGAGCTTGTGTGGGTGGGCTCCACTTATTCTTGAGCCGCATCATTGATCAGACATTTCTTCTCCGTATGGGGCTCGATAGCTCTCTCCACGTTGCCAACCCCATGGAGAGATGCCTAGCGTTTAAAAATTGGGACGCGCAACTGTGGAGTCGACTCCTCTATCTAAGCTCTAGCCACGCTCTTTGCTAACATCAAGCAGGTGTCTTGTCCGCACCCTGCTGCTGATCTCTGCTCTCTGCGTGACACGCTGGTGTTCGCCCACACAAGAGATAAAAGATTGCTGCAAGGAATGGTAATGGAAGCTTGACAAGCCAATTAGCAAACGAGAAAAAAACTACTAGAGGTTCTGTGCTGCGCCATGACCCAGCTCGAGACTCCACGACATGGCTTGTCTAGCGTTGGCGTGCAGCCGGTAGCCTCTGGGCCCTTGGCGCATTCGGCCCTTACACATCGGGCAATGTTGAGGGTCTTGCAACTGTCCAGGATGTTCTCGCAGGGCCTGGAGCTTAAATTCAGTAAGCCATTGCCGCGCAGCCGCGTATTTCGACGGCTCACATACACATCGCTGGGTTGGACTGAAGCGCGTATGGAAGTTTGTCCCAACATGCGCGAATTTACACAAGATCTACTCCACATCACACGATTCTGGGGAGCATCCATGGCCTTAGGTCAATATTTTGTCGAATCAGACGAGATGTGGCTTGCATTGTTGTTGATTCAAGGCATGCGGGTATACCATTCCCCATGCACCAAAGGAGGAGCATCACGCAAGGCTTCATGCACGGTTGCACTTGTCGTCACTCCGAAAGCCGGCGAAGATTGCTAGAATCATAGACTGATTCACTCCCGGTGTTCTGGCACGTCGCTTGAGGGTTCATCCTTCCTGCCCACTGCACCACACGGCAGCTAGGATGGGAGACGGTTAAAGCAGTCGTCTTCGCCACGAGGCTCACGAGATCTGCATGCTAGAGACCCGAATGTGAGGGCTGACAGCAGTTCGATGCCCTCTTCTAGCGGTCTTCCAATATTCTTCTGTGCATACCGTTTGCGTAGCCTCCCGCCCTCGGCCATAATACCCATCAATGACGTTGTTGCACTAAATCGCACGCACCGATGCAACCCATGTCAGCGGGAGGTTTGTCGGAGCATCCAAAGTCTGGGCGCTCGGAGGATCGTCATACTGCCCTCGTGCTCGAATGCGAACCAGCTCACTACACCTGATTAGATTACTACCGGCTGATAGAAAGTGGGGTAGCGCCTGGGACGCCCGACGCCAATCAGATAATAATGTCTTTCGTGGACCACACCAATCAACGCTGTCCACCTCCAAGGTTCTGGGCGGCACGCCTGGATCTTGAGGGCGGCGCCAGCTTAGCTGGCTGCTGCTAAGCTTAATACAACTAGGGCTCGGGCACTATTTGATCAAGGCATATCTCGCCGCAAGTAGCCGGCCAAGTGGGTGCAACATCTCCATCTGGGGAATTTTCGGCTTTCAACAACGTACCTGGGGCAAGTGAATGCGGAGAGCCCAAATACATGCAGGTGAGCCCCAAGGGTGTGCGAGTCATGCAACCGAATTGTTGGGCTCGAATGAGAATGCGAAGGCTATCGCGAAAATACGGCCTCTATCCTGCCTTGTATGGGAATAGCGTATAGGGTGCAGACGGTATGTCTTCAGAAACAGCGCAATGCTGGTCCTCTGACTTTCAGCTCGTGTCCTCAGTCGACCATTCTTCGTCTTTGATGACATTCCAGGCTTCCTCGTTGGTTTATTCCTCTGGCATTCTGCCTCTGTTAAGACCCTCCAGACTTTCCAACAAGAAGTGACTTCAACGTCACCATCATAGCGCGGGTGCATACTATCGCTGATGGGTTGATTTGCCGACTGCAAACGTTGAAGGAGAGATGTATCCTTCGTAGGCCGATCTGGGCTGAATACATTGTCAGGTGGGGATTTCAACTGGGGCACCACGTTTGTTAAACCATAACGCAGGTGTTCCAAGAGGAACTTGTGGAGAACAGGAACCACCGTTTGAAGAAGATGTGGTCCGGGGCTGCAACGAGCCCCCGTCCGGTCTTACTTCGGCAGACGTCCGATGTCCGATACTCTTCAGCATCCGACGTTCGACGTGTATCAATACCAGGAACTGTTATCAAGAGGAGGAATAGTCAACAATGACTACTAACTTCCAATAAGTGCCAGAGCAGGAGCTTCGTTCCAAGAGGACGAGTACTAAAGCGTCGAGATTAGCGTTCAACAGACCTTTGACATGCGCTTCCGTGTACAACGAGTATAATGGGCGCCTTGCACGAATACACAACCACAACACAACGTACTGTGTATGTGGCATAGGTTTTGTACGGATATGGTAAACTTCTTGTACAATTTCTCTCCCTTCTACCCTGTTCAACCTCCTTGTCATGGAAGGACCTTGACTCTCGATGTGTAAAACACACTGGCCCGATCCTCTTCTTTCTTTTCCTTCCCTAGTTCCTCTATCCTCTCTTCTATTATCTATTATTGCCACCCATAAAGAGAGGAAACTCCGGCCCAAGGCAACGTCGTAAGGCTTCGTATGAAAATCCAAATCCAGGGTGGGATGATCATAGCGTATTGCGCCTCTCGAGAGCGATTTCGCCGCGTCCTTCCAAGTCTACGAGCTCTTGTAAGTATGTCCCTATAACATCTTTGTGTAAATGTCTTACCGAACTCGTTGCCAGTCCTTGTACGCTTTCCTCGTATCATCCGACGTATCATACATCCGATGGGGATGCAAGTTACAAGAAGGGTGATGAATGCGATAGTGGCTTCGACGGTCCATGAAGAGACCATGTTGAGTGCAACGATGAAAATCAATCTGGTAGGCAACGACGATGGTCCGGACAGTGGTAAAAGGCAGCTTAATATCAACTACTGGCGGCGACCAGGACAACTCGCAAGTCAGGATTCACATCATTGGGTAGGTACCTCATTGTGCTGAGCTTCCGGTGATGCGCATCCTTGAGGCTTGGACGTAGCTGGCACAACTCATTCTTTGCTCGATTGACCAGTAGCTCTACCTAAACTCGAGGCGAAAGAGCGGGTTGGCCTAATTCGAACTCAGGTTTTTCTTGATTGGTCGGGCACGAAAGCACTCCATGCAGGGGGGCAGGGCAGCGGCCTTGTGTTACTTGGACCCTAAACTCAGGTTTTGCATGATTGGTCAACTTGGCGGCTTTGGCGAGGACCTCTAATATATCTACCTCGTCCGGACAGTGTTTTACGCTGCAACCAAACATCCTCTTTATCGATCTCAATTTTATCCTTTCTCCCTCTGTAATTGCATACTTTCGCATTTTACTTTTTCTTCAACAAGTCCACTAGCCACCCGCAACGATGAAGCAAACACGAAGAGTCCTCGCCGATAGAATTGACAACGCAACTTGGGATCAACACCGCGAGACCATCCACCGCCTCTTCATCCTTCAGAAGCGCAAACTGGAAGGGCCTGAAGGCGTGATGCATGTGATGTCCAAAGTCCATGGCTTCAGTGCCACGTAAGTTATTATGTTGCTACGCTATGCAAGGCTGAGACTGACCATCCTCTAGCGAAGCGCAGTATGAAAAGCGTTTCAAACTTTGGAATATTCGGAAGAAGATTACAGATCGAGAGTGGAGTGTTGTTCTTTCACATGTACATGTGAGGGCACAGCACGGCGAAAAGACTGATGTCATATTTAACGGTGCGCTTCTTGACGAGGAACGCGTTGCGAGGGAAATCAATCGACGCCTCTCAAGATACAACGGGCATCCGAGTAACTTACAAGGTCAGTGCATGAGGCAACCGCTAATACATGATTTAACCGAGATTGTAGACCTTCCCAGGGTACCTCTCGGCTTCAAGTTGCAATCCCCGCCAAGCGCTGCCGTCCCGTGTGCGGATAATGCTATATCCGATTGCATTCCTGCAAGCTTCTTCGATCTGATGCCCAACGACACAATCATCTCTATAATCGCAACATCGTTAATTGGCCACGGAAATATCCGATTTCAAGTTTTCCATTATCCACCGAGATCATCCGACAGAGTTCTGAAGCCTGGAATCGCAGCAAAAAGATACGGGAAGATACAGCAGCATGAGTTGAGGGATTTTATCGAATATCGTAGTAGGAACGGAGCTACGCGTTTGCAACGTCTTCAATTCGAAGTTCTTGCGAAAAGACTACAAAGAGTCGGCTGCTGCTACCTATACCTTTATCACATGGGAGGTGCCTATCACCCCAACGGAACTTTCAAGCGAATACGGTAAACATTCTGGGTGGCCTTTCGAGATTCGCTTGAAACTGCATTCTGAGAACTGGCAATGCAATACTTGCAATGATTACCCTGAACGCCAACCGCTGTCTCCAGTTCTCGACCACTGCTGGCAATGTAGCTCAACAGATGGGATGTTATTGGTGCGTGAGGATGAACGCATTATAGAATTAAGCAGTCTGGTCACCGCAATTCATCTCAAGTAATGCAATGCCTATACTAACCATCACAATCTCATGGTTTGTACATGCTCCTTCTTGAAAGGTACGCCATCGACAAGAAAAATGACTTTTTCTTTGAAAAGAAGTCTCGTTTTGTTTTATGTCACGTTGGCATTATTGTCTTTTATCGTTCTTATGCACACAGTTTTATTACGGTCATAGTCTCTCTCAAATATCTCTACTCCATTCGCCATAAAATGCAATCATGACATCTCTTCTGAAAAAAAAGAAGTCTAAAGACTAGTAGACGCTGTAGAAGCTTGGACCCCAGAACCTCATTTCTCAAAAAGCTTTGCTGGCAGTACTCTCTGCAACATCCTATTAATACCAAAAACTACCAAGGTAACAATTCCACACGCCACAACGCCGAGTCCAGTTGAGTTGAATCTGTCACCCCCCTTGCGTAGTACAAACGCAACGAATTTTAACTATTAACAAGCAGAATAGGGATAAGAAATGGAGAGCGTGAGGAGCGCCTAGCTAAACATGGGAAAGACGAAGTTGTGCCAAGCTCATTCTTCATCTGATCGTAACTGTCCACTTTCCTCTTCCATCCGACCACAACACCAACAAGCGCGCGCCAAACCCAATCACAAAATTGCCCCAGACACTCCCCAGTACCACGACCCTGAAACACATCTAGAACAAGTCGTGTATCGGCCCGACTCCGATTCAAACGCATCAAAAAGATCACCCAACGTATCACCAGTAAACAAGGCATCACTCATCATGCACGCGGAAAACATAAAAAAACAAGGGTGGGTATAAAACCATGTTAATAATTTCTCTCTCTCCCTCCTTCCTATTCAGGTATAATATAAGTAGTAGTAGTAGTGATACAATCAAATCTCTCTCACTCGCCCCATCCATATCCACACTTCATACTCCACCAAAAACAAAACAAAAACTCTTACTGCAACTGTGTCGCCAACTGCGTAACCTTATCCTTAAGATCCTGGCTCTCGCGTCCGGCAGCCTCGTTGATCTTATCCCTCAAGTGGTCAACCTGGAGACCGGGAGCAGTAGGCGCCCTACCGAGCGCAGTTTCGATCCTCGAAATCTGCATTTGGAGGAAGAACTTGGGGACCTTGATGGAGTTGACTTGGGCGCTGCCCTCGCTGCGCAGACCGGCTTCGGTGGCGTGGTAAACGTTGAGGGCGTCTTGGAAAGCCTCGAGGTTGGATTCTGCAAGGGGCGTTGCGGTTTCGAAGAGGCCGAGGGAGAAGGCGAGGGGGCCCTGGCCTGAGGAGGCAAAGTTGATTTGGGAAAAGGTTTGGCCGCCAGAGGTTACGTCGGGGATGTTGTCGATTGTTTTGGCGTTGGCGTTGCACGTGACGCTGCCTTGGATTTGGTCCACGACTGCGCTCGTCTCGGCAGGGAGCTGCTGGTTGCCGATGACGAAGCAGGGCTTGTTTTGGCGCGCGCTCAGATTAGCTGCGGGCAGGGCGCTGGCAAGGCTGCCGAAGAGCGCAAATGCAGTAAGGGCGTTGGTGTACATTTTTCTGTGTTTGACGGGAAAAAATGTTATATAAGTTTTTTAAATAAAGAATAGTTATGGGTTTATTTTCGTAAAAACGAAAAATAAAAGAGACTATGGTTTAAAGAATGGAAGCTAAGGCCCTAGCCAGAGGGGGCAGTGTAGCGACTGAATGAAGAGAGCGAGAGAGAGAGAAACGAAGTGACTGTAAAACACTGTAGAAAGTAAGTGATCAGCGATAGCATTACAACGTCCTTATATATAAACGCCTCACAGTCCTATCACGAACACCTTTTTGCCCAGGCGCAAAACGGATAACAAGGCAAAACACCCCACAGTGTCCCTGTATCATCCAGGCGGTGACACGATGTTGACGTTTGACTCGCGACACTTGGGGTTTGAGCAGACTGGTTACCCACGTCGTCGGTTCGCTTATCAGCCCCCACTATAACCCGATTGTGTACCCTGCCCCGAATACGTTCGGAACACGGTCCAATCATATGGCTTGCCGTGGTTGGATTTCTCGGAAAACAGGCACGCATTTCTGGCATGCGAAACTTGCGTGCCTTGGTGGCTGGATACTTCAGAGGAGAAAGGGGGAGGTGGTAAGGAGTTTGCAGTAGTTGCTCAATGCCGCAAGTCCTCAGCTGATTTAGCCTGTGTTACTGCTGTGTGAGGTCTGACAGGAACTCATAAAGAAGGAGGATTGCATGTATGCTCCTGTTCCTGTGGCAAGGCAAGTGGGGGCAGGAAGGAGGTGTGGCTTCATCATCTGTGTATGTACATATCAATATGTACAATGTCGTCCAAAGCGGGGCGAGCACGTGGATCAAGAGCTATCCCGCAGGTCCACTAGCATATCCCTACCACTGCGCACCTTTTGTGCATCAATCCATACACTCGCAACCAACCCTGATCATCCATTACATGCACGGCATATGAGGCGACTAGTCAATTCTGCTTCACTACTACACGAAATCTCCGCCAAAACACCGCGGCGTTCACCCTGGTATCAGTCATGCGCACTATCCTAACTCTCGGGTGGCGTCAATGGGCCATGTGCTCGAAAAAACACCGTTCCCCAAGAGTCCGTCTATAAAAGTAACGCGCCCCTGCTGCGTTTTCAGTCCGGTGCCTAAGTACGCCATGCTAGATGTGAAGGTGCATATGAGCCCTTGGAAAAGTATATAAAGTTGACAAAAGAAAGAAAAAAAGTGTATCCGCTTAAGCGGCGCCAACATGCTATAAATCCACTTTTGAAATCCAAATGAATGCAACAAGGTATAAAGTTATTGAAGCTAAGCTGCAGTGGTCATGGGACTCTGTGGGGGCCGCTCAACATGCTCAGCAAGGGGGCTGTTGGCTTTTGTGGCATGCTTATCATCAGCCGCTCGTTGACTCGGCGTCGACTCTTCCGCGATATCACTCATGTCTGAAGCTGCGCTGTCCGAGTCGGATTCGTCAATCTTGAATGCCTCACGGAAGTTCGCAGGGGTTACCGTTTGAGATGAGACGTGTCGCTGCTTTGTCGTGTCTGCCGATAGCTTCCGAACGGCGAAGGGGTCGATGTTGTCGCTTCCCGGAGACCATGGAATTGCTGCAGTACCACTAGCAACACTACCATCTCTTTCATCGGCGGATGCTGCCTCAGCTGCTTCTTGGAGCTGCTTCTTGGTCTTCAGTCGCTCTTCTGCTGTCATGTTCTGCCAGTCAGAACCAAACTGGATGACAGATGCTTTTTTGCCATGGACAGTAAAGCTGCCCTTGCCACGCGCTAGTCCCTCACTTTCGGTGGTGTCACTGGCAATCGTAGATGCAGAGTCTCTGCTCTTGTGACCACGACGGTGTGATGAGCTACCACGAGACTCTCGAAGAGTGCGGTGTAAGCTTCTTTTTTGTCTAGTATGTGATCTAGGCGAGCCCGCCAAAGCGGCAAGTGCTTGTTCGCCGTCGGGTTCAGTGCCGGCCTCTGGTCGAGTTGTGCCCGTTGGTGATACCTCGGGTAGTTTGGAATCCAACTCTTCCACTTCGCCAGGGGGTGGAGTGGCATACTGCGACCCGTTCTCAGAGTCAGACTCCGAATCCGAATCCGCTGTGCCATCACCTGTGGTCGATATAGAAGGCCGGTGGCCAGCGACATAAGACGGCGATCGTGCAGAAGAGCTTGCAAATGAACTTCGACGGTCCGATGTCGTGGGGCTCATTGATATTGGAGCTATATGGAAGTGAGCAGACGGATCATTAGGACTGGATTGCCGAGATGTTTCTGGCGGTGTCTTGAACGCTTCATCCCCACCAAATTCTGTTTCCCTGGAGGACTTGGTCTCTGGCCGACCCGACAAGCCAGGAGACAATGGGGCTGGCTTGTTTCCGCTGGTAAGTGAGCTGGTTTTCGAAGTCAACCTTGCCAGACTATTGACTTTGGAGCCTCGGTGAGATTGCTGAGGGGAAATCTGTGGCTGATGGGCTTCTGAAGCTCGATCGGTCTGGGCTTGTCTGTCGATGCCCCCCTGCCTTTCATCTTCGAGTTCCTGGGCCAAGATGTCACGGTGACACTTCATCCGCCAAATCTCAATACGGGTCCATTTCAACTTGGCTGATAAGCGCCCTGCAGCATGAATAATAAGCTCCCTCGTCTTTGGCTGAATAGGCGCAAGAATCTGAAGATGTCTAGCATCTCTCAAGCGTGCTTCCAACTCTTTGATAGCCGAGGTCAGCTTGTCCTCGGATTCGGATATGCGCACCTGCATGAGGTCTTTCCGGGCGTTCATCATTTGCTGTGCAAACTGGCTGTCAATCTTTCCGCTTTGGACCGTCACCTCGCCAGTGGTTGTCGGTATTGTCCTGGTTGAATGCGAAGACTCTAGACGCCTCATGCCCCGGTTCCTCTGCCCTTCGTACAAGCCACCAATCATGCCTCTGGAGCGAACACCAAGAGTCTCGAATGCGGCAGTATAGTTCAGCACACCCAGCCACTCATTCAAATCCTTCTCGCTATCAGCTAAAAACGTTTCCTCCCCGGCTTTTGAAAACATGACGAAAGCATGCTTATGTTTCTTGTAAGTGTTGTCGACCAGTGCAACAGCACCATCCATCGGTATGATGTGATCTTGTTTGAAGTCTGGCAGGGCTGGCTGGAACACTACGGGGCCGGCTTCACCGCGTTTCAGATGTTGCTCATGCTGGCTCATTAAGCTTCTCGTCCATGTAGAATTGCGGAACAAGGACAACCCCGATCGTGTGAGCACAGCACCCCATTCTTGCCATGGCGAGCGTGCCTTCTTCTTTTTCGTGTCCTTTCGCCATAGGATCCCAACTTTGGTCACGGGCATTTCTACAATTCCAACTGAGGTACCGAGCGGGTTTTCCTGGGCTGCTTCTGACATGAAAGCCTCCGGCCTTGATCTGGAAGACACAATCTGGATTACGCCGTACCTTGAAAACAGCTTGTAGATATTCTTAGTATCTAGTGTTGCCGCAGTTCCGGTGTAGTTGTAGGGGTCATCCAATTGCATCACGTCTCGAATAGTGGGACGAAGCGCGTCGAGCTTACCCTCGAAAATCAAGGTGTACGGATCGATGGGCTCTTTCGCCGCCTTTCTCGCGGGATCATTCATTGATCCCTTGAGTACAGCTGTCCTCTTGCTTTTCTTCGAAGTAATGTTTTTCAAGTCAACCTCATCGTCAATATGGATAAAAGGGGTGTATACGATGTTGTCATAGAAGCAGCCCAGGACATCGGCCGATACACCTTCACAAGACGAGTTCTTGATGTAGTCTGGCCTCTGCATTTTTCTTTTGTTGTTCTTGTTGAAGACGTCAGTGTGGAGAATGATGATGGAGAAGGATATAAAGTATGCTTTGTCTATGGTACGTTAGAAGCATGAACATGTCTTAAGGGGAGAGTAGCATTACCTGTATTGATGTAAATGCCGGGGTTGCACTCATGATAGCGGTCAGCGAAGCCCTGAAGAACACGGTCAATCTGCTGCGCCTCCCTGGGCAGCTCGACCTGCATGAGCAACTTGCGAATAGCCATGTCAATGGGGTCACCGAAGAAAGCAAACTTGCGCATGTAGCTTCGCAATACCGCAAGCAAAAAAGGGTCATCAGTCTTGCTGAGGTAACTGGCGACAACGCTTTTGTCAAAATTGTTTGCTTCGATTCGTTCCAGATATCTTCCTGGGGTCTCGCCCTCTTCGCGCTCCGGTAGGATCAATGTTTCTCGACTAATGTTCATTGAGTTTTGATGGGAGGACAGGGCAGAGTTTCCTAAGAAGCCGTGAGCAGATGCGCCATGTCGAGGCGAATGTGGCTCAGAGTTCTGTCGAAATCTCGATCCGAGGCCAAAAAGATTGCTGAAACTACTTCTTCCAGCAGTCGATATTGAAGTCCTGCCACTGGGACCTCCGGGTGGTGTGGGAGATCCAGCGTCCTCAGATCGCGCGTCTAATGAACCCATTGTCGATGAGCGTCCTCGGAGCCCTAAGCGAGCAGTACCGTTGTTGTTTCCCGAGGAGTGGGCCGAGCGAGATGATCTGTACGAATCGTTGCGAAGGAGAGTGCCTGAACCGGGTGAGGCCAAATTCAAAGCACCAGCAGCTAGAGCAACTTGCGATGCAAGAGGGATTGGCGGCGTCTGTGCCCCTGAATCCCCATGGTCGACACGGCGCGCAGTCAGCGGCGGACTTCCTGGTGGCGAGTGTTGATTCGAGGCCGTACTCCTTGCCCCGGTCGAGGCACGTGGGGTGGCAGGTGCGGTGTCGGGGAACTGTGGAGGCTCGACCTTCATGGGGAGGGGGAATAACGATGCCCGTTGCTTCCGGCGGCCAAAGGTGAAGCGGCCGGTACCCGTCCGAGCCGGGTGGCTGGGTCGCTGGGGGTTTTCGAAGGAGACGTGGCCACCGGAGCTTCCGTCTGACCTGGAGGATTCGGATGCTCTAGTAGCAGGAGGGGCCAAGGAGTTTGTGCTTTCGACTGATTCACGTGGGTCTGCAAGCACATCTGGAAGGCGCTGCCTGCATGGTAGCGGGTGCTCGTTCTGGTCGTCGTGAACATTGCCATTGCCCTTTCCAAAGCCGAGGGGTCGCCGCTTCCGCTCCATGGACTTGCGCAAAGTGGTGGGCTTGTCGGCTAGGCTAGGGTCGAAGGAGCGTCGTCGCAGCGCAAGTTGCTGCATGCGGCTCCTCTTGGGCGTGGGCTTGGCATAGTCCTCGTGGTCCGTCACGGTGGGTGCGGTGGTAATGATGGCGGGCGCTATTACGAGTTCTACGTCAGTACGAGGTATGCGAAGACTGGCGGTACTGGTACATACTCGCGGGGGTTGCAGGCACAGCAGGGACGGGCGGAGCATTGTCCTGGTCATGGCCATGGTTGCCGGCCTGCTCCTTTGCCCTGGTGGAGAGCTGCGAGTCCGAGGCATGGCGGAAGCGCATCAGACTGAAGCGCCTGGTGTTGGGCGTGTGCTCCTGTACAGGCGGAGAAGGTGGGGAGTCAGCGTCGTGGCCGGTTGAGGGCCGCGCCATGTCGGACGAAGTTGGGCGGTAGCCATCTTCCGAGGCTGCGATGCGAGTAGTAGAGTCGAGGTTGTCGGTGGACTTTGCAAAGTGCGAGTCCTTGTCGGCGCGCCTGAAGAGGCCCGCCGGATCGAGGGTGCTCCGCCGCTTGAGGTCTCGTTCGCTGCGGTTCGGGCGGAGAGAGCGCAGAGGCATGGCTGCTCGCGCCGACTAGCAGCTCATGAAGGCAGGAATTGCGTCACGATGCGGCACATGGCACAGCAGAGAGGGAGGCAGGCAGGAGGCGTGGCCGTGGACGTGGACGTGGACGAGTGTTTACGGGGGACGTGTTGGCTTGTGTAGGGGGGTGAGCAGCAGTGCGGTAAGGCTGAGTGAGAGAGAGCGATGCTGGGATGGGCGGGTCAGAGACTGGGCACGATGGATGCACGCGTAGCCGGACTGGGGCAGAGGGGCAGCCGACGTCACTGGAGCGGGTTTTTTTTCTGGGACTGTAGGTAAGTAAACTGTATAGGGGGGTGTGGACGAAGAGGCGCCAGGCCGGAGGGCATCCGCTGTCTCCAGGCACTGGCGGGCGCACTGGTACTCTTTGTGCAGCGCGCGGTGGAGAGGCCGCCAGCACCAGCCACACACACGCACAAATGCACACGCGCAAGCCACACTGATCCGCTCTCAGCCACATCTGCCACGTTCTGCCCCGGCATCCCAACCGGCAGCCCGACAGGCCGACGGATGGGCCAGACACTACATCGACACTAGACCACTAGACACCCTTCTTTTCTCCGCCCAACGCGACGTCACCCCGAGCAGCTCGTAGCCTGGCCAGCGACACTGCTCTCTCGCCATGCGCCGGCCCACGCTTGCTGTCCTGAGCCTGCTGTGCCTCTCGCCTTCTTTTACCCTCGCCGCCCCGCACGACACCACATCGCCGCTCCAGTACGATACCCAAGGCACCTACGCCTCGGCCCACAACGCGTCACCACGACCATGGCGCCGCCTGTCCGACGCCATCATCCGTAGGATATGGGCCCTACCCGCCGACCAGAAGCGCCTACATGGCGACAACCAAACTCCTGCTGTAGCCAGTCCATTGGGCTCTGGCCTGGCCGCCCAGTATGGCGACGACATTGTGTTGAGATTCAAGATCCGCACCGCCGATGAGGCTACCGCATTCGCAAAGGCCGCCGACATCCTCTTCCTCGACGTTTGGGAATTCAATCAGGACTGGGCCGATGTGCGCATCGCAAAGGACGTCCTACCTTCCCTTCTCGACCTGCTCCCGCCATCGCTCCACCATGCCCACGAGCCACTGCTACAGGACCTGGGCCTCGCACAGGCAATCTTTAATTCATACCCACCCCCCGCCTCTGCCCCATCTCACCACGATGACCGCTTTTCCCCGAATCTCCGCCCATCGCCGCGGGCCGGCAAAGGCCATGTCTTCTTCCAGGATTACCAGCCCCTGTCCGTCATCAATCCGTGGATGAGCCTCATGGCCTCCATGTTTACTACCCACGTCCGCCGCATCAATGTTGGCGTCAGCTACCAAGGCCGCGAAATGCCCGCCCTGCGTGTCGGTGTGCACCCCACCAACGACGATGAACCATCGCAACCAAGGAAGACCATCCTCGTCACAGGCGGTATACATGCCCGTGAGTGGATATCGACTAGCACAGTCAACTACCTGGCCTGGAGCTTCATCAATGCCTACGGAAAGGACCGCGAGATGACGCGCCTGTTGGAAGAATTCGACTTTGTATTCGTCCCAACCTTGAACCCAGATGGCTACGTCTTTACGTGGGAGACGGACCGTCTATGGCGCAAGAATCGCCAACCTACCAGACTGCGTTTCTGCAACGGCGTAGACCTCGATCGCAGCTATCCGTACATGTGGGACGGTGAATCAGCGCAGTCAAGCCCCTGCAGTGAATCTTTTCCTGGTGATGCACCATTCGAAGGCGTCGAATCCGCACGCTTCGCTGCATGGGCAAGAAATGAGACTGAAAACAACAATGTTGAGTTTGTGGGCTTCCTGGACCTGCACTCATACTCACAACAGATCCTGTATCCGTATAGCTACTCGTGCCATGAAGAACCACCTGCCATTGAAGACCTTGAAGAGCTCGCCATGGGCCTGGCCAAGGCTATCCGCGTCTCCCGCAAAGGTCAGACGTACAAGGTGACGTCTGCATGTGAAGGCAATGTGGCGTTCTACAACGAAAAGAAGAAGATCTTTCCGCGCATCGAGTCGGCTGGCGGTAGCGCACTCGATTTCTTCTACCATGAGATGAAAGTAAAATATTCTTACCAGGTCAAGCTAAGAGACACAGGCAGTTATGGGTTCTTGCTACCAAAAGAGAACATTATTCCAACAGGAGAGGAGATGCTGGATGCGCTTTTGTATTTTGGGCGCTATTTGCTCGGTGAGGTCGGCATTGCTCAGCAAGGCAATGAGGCCAAGGTAGCCAAGTCCGACGAAGACTGGGTTGTTGTATCAAAGGATGGTAATGTCGGTGGCCTTGAGACTGAGTCTGAGATCACGGAGTTGTAATTTACGTTCATGTATTGTACTCAAGAAATAGTTTTTACACATCGCACACACCTAGTCTTGTCATATGTGCGTGTGCTACGCGAACTCGATGGGGCTCTTTTCGCAAAGCAAAACATGGCAAAAGCCTGTTGCGGTAAACTGCGGGCCTTGTGCAATCATACTTGACCATTTCGAGCCGACGCGTGTCATTGCGCAATGCTCGTGCAGATGCGGGGATAGTGATGATGACGGCCTGCTTGCTTTGGATTCATGGCAGGCACATGAAGCATTGGATGCAAGCAAGCCACAGAGCGTTCAAGATGGCGCCCGGGATCCAGTTGGTTTTTATCAACGGTCCTGCATGTAGCGGTCGTTCACTTGCACGTGGACCCCGTCCGTGCCGTTAGGCGAAAGCTAAGATCCTTACAACGTCATGGCTTCAAAGTCTCAGTGAAGCAACAGCTTCCGCGTCTGCCACCGTCATTTTGGCGCTGCCGACACCCGGAATCTGCCATTGCACCGTTGTCGTCTTCCGTCGCAATTCACTCTTCCACTACCGACCATCAATTTGACGTGCAACACAAACACATAGCCTGTCATGGCATCACAAGCTACGGAGACGACTCCCTTGGTGTCGTCAATGTCGAGCTCAAGTCGAGCAACACCCCATAAACCTCAGCGCACCGTCACTTTCAACCCGACCGTTCTATCCACCAGCCCCAAACCCTCCTCGCCTCGCTCGTTATCCCACGGCGCGTCCTCTTCGGGTCATGCTGCCACGACCCAAGGCGGGCAGCCAATGCTGTCGACCTTGAACAGCAAGCTACGGAGGAGAAACAGTTCAGGCGCTCCTGCTCGGATACCTCCCGCGCCGGTGCCCAAGATTGGTCCGCAAAGAACGACGAGGACTGCCCAGAAACTGAAGCTCCTCCCCGATCCGGCTGCCGATGAGGCCGAAGACGAGGAGAGTGGACGCGACGTATATGTGCAATACACGCGCATCAAAGACCCCACCGCAAGAAGAGATGCTGCCAGGCTTGGAAAAGCAGACAGAGAACGGTTACCCAGAGTGACGGCATATTGCACTGCTGCTTCCTACAAACTTGACGAGATGATGCGATTTCTGAAGGGAAAGCAGAAGACAAGAGGCGCTTTGCCCAAGCGTTTTGATGAGTGCATATACTCGCCATACAGCTACGGTTCAACGAAGGGTCCAGAGGAGATTAGTAGTACTGCCGTATTGGGCGACTATCCAGAGGAAAGACCAAGGAGATTCTCAGACAGCGCGATTGAAGTAGAACACGAGAATGAGCGGAGAAGACAGGACATTATCGACTTACATGATGGCGGTGATGCGCCCGATATTACCAACGAGCAAGCCGTGAGCCAGAGACGTCCTTCCATCACCCATGCCGATTCCGACCCCCCAATGGACACACCTGACTTCGATACACGCGTACATACACCAGAAGTCTTTCTTTTCGAATACGGAACTGTTGTATTATGGGGCATGACGCTCCAAGAAGAGAAGAAATTCCTCAAGGAGATTGCAAAGTTCGAGGTGGACAAGCTCGGCAAGGATGAGATTGAGACGGAAGAATTCAATTTCTACTACACACGCGAATACCAGGCCCGGATATACAACGATTTCATCAGTCTGCGCGACAAGAAAAACTACATGATCAAGCTCGCCATCAGTCACGGACTGTCTCAGAGTGTTAAGACGTCGCTATTCGAAGACCTAGTGGACAACACGATTGACGAAACCAAGGACATTCCAGCCGAGATTGCGAGCTCGGGAAAGATCAATCTCAACAAGAAACAGATCAACATGCAGATAGGAGAGCTGTTCATCCTCCGCATTAGTATACATTTGCAAGGATCTGTTCTCGATGCGCCGGAGCTGATGTGGGCAGAGCCACAACTGGACCCGGTCTACCAGGCGGTGAGAAGCTATTTGGAAATGGATCAGCGTGTTAGTCTCTTGACCGAAAGGTTGAACGTCATTGGTGATCTGCTTGCTGTGCTGAAGGATCAGCTGACTGTAACACATGTAAGTTGGGCTTTTGCCCGCCCATATCTTGAAGACGAGCCTGGCTAACGAGGAACACAGGGTGAACTACTCGAGTGGATTGTAATTATTCTGATTTTCGCAGAAGTTCTCGTTGCCGCTATCAACATTTTTGTTGACCTGCACGCTGCAGATTAGGTTATTGGCATTACTTTTCTTTTTCCCCACGGTGTACGATAGTCGGCTTGCGGCTCCGCATAACGGGCGTTTGGGGACACAGTTGAACGGGTCTGCGGCATGGCGTTGTAAGTGATTGGCGTCAAGTATATGTTTTAGTTAGCTGTTCGAGCAGAGGCGGATGGGGTGGTTTGGAGGACTGTTTCCTTCTTCCTTTCTTCCTTTTTCTTTTACGATAGCAGCTTTTTGGGCCAATGGAAATACTGTTTCGTCATGGTTTTAGTGGTGACTTGGCTGAGAGTGGCTGGTTTGACGAGGACGAGGTTAATGTCGTCGCTACTCGCTATACGGAACACGTTTTCTAATGCGAGACGAGACTGACAAGTGCTCTCTTATGGAAACGCGCTGTCATGGAGGAGAAACTTGGGTAGCATTAGCAAGTGGCACAGCAATGCATGATTACTCTCTCAGGCGGCGCTGATATTGTTACAGTATTTTAATCTAATCGACTAGGGCGGCGGAGCAGGACGTCTCCGCCCGCTGAACCCTGTCTGGCGCCCCATCTTTCCACATGAGACCCTTTTGAGCATTTCACCGCATGCCGTCGCCCTCCACCCATACAGTGCCCCAATGAGCCGTCCCAGATGAGTTGGAATCTGCTAGAGCGCTTTATAGAATCTGAGCACTTCAACCAAGATCCGAGCCTCGCAGTAGCATACCTTGCGTGAGTGGCCACCTCTCCTCCGAGCGCAGCGGCCCTCTGCCGCCGATTGCCTCCCCTCTCACTTGCTGTTTACTGATGCATGCATGCGAATGCACACAGCCGGTATGCAGACCACGTCGGAATCCACTATGTGCTCTGTTCCAAGCTACGCCAGTTCGCCTACGAGGAGCTCGAGTTCTTCCTGCCGCAGTACGTCGCCTGCGCCACACCACAACCCGCCGACGGCATGAACAGCTAGCTTACATACGCGGGGCACCACAGGCTATGTCACCTCCTCATCAGCATCGACAATGAGTCCATGGCCCTCGAGGAGTTCATAATCGACTTGTGCGAGGAGTCGGTCAACGGCGCGCTTCTGGTGGGGCTTCCGGATACCGTGTCTTGTTAGTCTGGTGCTTCTTGTGCTAATTCATGCCCTGCAGACCTTTTGGCTCTTCCAGACATATCTCCACGACCTCGCAAGCGCCCCAAATTCAGTCGCTTTCAAAACCTGCAGGAGAATCTACAATCGCGTGCAGCGCATCGTCTTTGGCTCCGCCGAGCCCTCGCGGAGAGAGAAGATTAAGGAGAATGTATTACCCGTCAGCGTCCTATCGAGCCTGGTTCTTGCAAGCATAGCAGCGCCATTCCTACCAGCTCATGCCGGGCCACTGGCTATTGCGCAGGCGCGGAAGCCGAGACCCGTGGAGGACATCATCTCCGATAACGTGCAGACGGCCAAGGTGGGGAGGAGCAAGACGGTCACAGGAGGATCGCCGAGGACCAAGCAAAAGAGGGTAACCCAGCAACAGCAACTTTCAGATCCCGAGGACGGACGAACAGGCCGTTCACCATCGCAGCGCCCCCGCGACCCCAAGGACTTGAGGAAACAGGCCATTCGAGCGCCCCCTACCCAACGCGCACCATCAGCCTCACAACGACCGTCGCTGTTGTCTGTAACCCCCGAAGCCCGCCTTAGCTCGTCCTCGCTACCAGAATTCCGAGATGCAGGATCCTCCTCCCCTCTCCCTACGCCCCCGGCAACCGCTGGCCTAGGACCGAGTCCGCTCCATCTTGGTCCTCGCAAACATTCGGCACACCCACCAAGACCTCTCTCACCCACAGCACTGACCCGCGCACAGAAAGTTCGGCTACTGCGATCCAATTATTTCCGGAATGAAACCCAGTTCCTGAGCGCTCTCGAGGATATTTCAAATCGTTTAGTTGTCGTGCCGAAGCCTGCACGATTGAGTGCTCTCAGAGCAGAGTTGGCGTTGATAGCTCAAGACTTGCCCGCTGAAGTTGATATACCGCTATTATCACCCCCGACCCTGAAAGATGGAATCCCTTCGCAGAGCCAGCACCATCGAATAGTGCGAATAAACCCCGCCGAAGCTACCAGTCTCAACAGTGCGGAGCGAGTACCATATCTGCTCATGGTGGAGGTGCTGGAAGAAGACTTTGATTTTGATCCAGACACGGAACAAAACCAGAAACTCCTCGAAAAGCTTATGCTGGAAAAAGGCACTTCAAGACGGCGGCTCTTTGATATCACCAACGCTGACTATCTGGCATCATACGATCGCACTCCACTAAATGGATCAGACAGTGTATTCGAGCCTGTTACGGGTGACCTCGGTAGCACTTCACTGATCAAGGACACGGATGAGACAGATATCGCCTCAGGACTAGCACGAGTGACCATGCCTGTTGCAGCGGCCAATATCAAAGCGACAGCACCAAGGTCCTCGAGTGGAGCCAATACCCTATCATCAGTGGCCACCATGTCTACACCACGGACGTCCGATTCGCAGATCAGTAGGTCAGTCAGTCCTATCCCCAGCAGAAGAATGACTATCCCTGCAAACATGAACCGAGCAAGCCAGGCCGTCGACCAGCCCGACTTTTCTGCTCTTGCAACCCACATGCGCACTGCTGCTCAGATGCTAGCACAACTGGAAGCAAGTGGTGCGAAGAGGCCAAAGGGCGAAGTAGCAGCAATCAAAGCCAAGATTATTGCAAGTATGCAAAGCCTGGAAGAACAAAATTTCCTCAACGAAGACCAGGGCCCTACGTTCGATTCTATCATGGCAGAGGCAGATCCAGTGGCAATCGCGGGAGAGCCGGAAGAAATTGATGAAGCTTTGGTGGTCACGCCCAACTCTGGTGCAGGCGCTGCTCGTATGGAAAACGATCTTAAGACTGGTGGCATGCGACGAAAGGGCGACAGAGACGATCCCAGCGCTGCAACTTTTGGAGAAGAATGGAGCGCAAAGCGAGAGCGTATACGGCGATCCTCGCCATACGGCCATATGAAGAACTGGGACTTGATCAGCGTCATCGTCAAGACCGGCGCAGATTTACGGCAGGAGGCATTTGCTTGTCAACTCATCGAGGTTTGCGCCAAGATCTGGGAAGAAGCAGAGGTGCCGGTCTGGACAAAGCGTATGCGCATCCTCGTTACCGGCGAGTCCTGTGGTCTCATAGAAACGATTACGAACGGCGTCTCGCTACACTCCCTCAAGCGAAGCTTGACACTTGCTAGTATAGCAGCAGGCACCAATCCCCGAAAGCGCATCGCAACTCTCAAGGACCATTGGCTTAAGACATTTGGGGAACCCGACTCGGAAGCCTATATTGCAGGCGTAGCAGCCTTTGGTCGCTCCCTAGCGGCGTACAGCATCATATGTTACGTACTACAGCTCAAGGATCGTCATAACGGCAACCTACTTATCGACAACATGGGCCATATCATTCACATTGATTTTGGCTTTATGCTTTCCAACTCGCCTGGTTCCATGGGCTTTGAAGCCGCCCCTTTCAAATTGACGCAAGACTATGTCGAAGTCCTTGGTGGCATCGGATCGCCTGCATTTGAAGAATTCAAGACACTATGCAAGAAGGCGTTTCAAGCGCTTAGGAAAGATGCTGAAAGGCTAATCATGCTGGTTGACTTGATGAGCAAGCAAAGCAGTATGCCATGTTTTGCTGCCGGCGCGGCTAGTGTAACAAACAGTTTGCGGGCAAGGCTCATGCTGCATCTGAGTAGAGAAGAGGCAGAAAGCTTTGTTGAGGAGCTTGTTGCAAAGAGTGTGGGAAGTTACTATACCCGGCTGTAAGCTTATGACATGCACTATCTTTTGCATAAGGACCGCTGTTAACATGAATCGCAGTTATGATACGTTTCAGTACCGCACACAAGGCATATACTGAGTTATACTCCCGCGGCATTTACTTGAGCGAGCTTGTGCGCTATTTGGAGACATCTGCGAGGGCGTTCAAGCACAAGCATTGCAATTTCTCGTTCTTCTTTCATCATCTCCTCAATCCTGTCTAGAACTGGTTCGCACACCGTGGAGAGAGAGGGGCATCCTGAGCTTTCCCTCTCTTTGGATAGAAGAAGCAGAGACGGAGGCTTTATCATATGCTCAAGAATATATCTTTTTTTTCTCGGACGAAGAGTCGATGTGTATATTTGGTAATCTTTCAATGAGATGACATTTACAATAACAATAACGGCACTAGTAGTATCAAACCTACCGCACAACCATGAAACCTAAACTGAGGAAACAACATCGAAAAGACTAGTTAGCTTCCATCACCTCCTCCCTTTCCTCTCCAAACCCTTCCTTCTCCCTCATCCCCCTCCCCACCCGCGCCACCTTATGACTCCCCACCACCCCTCCTACCTTCTCTACCACCTTGCCCAGCATAGAATCCCGCTCCGGTCCCCCCATTTCTCCCGTCTTATTACCATACCCTGCTCCGCCCGTCGATCCGCTGCCCAGCGGCGCCGGGTTCGAGTATGGAGTGGGAGATAGATTGGAGCCGAGGTGCGTGTCTGAGGTGCTGAACGTGGAGGATGTGGAGGAGCGTTTGTTGCCTTTTTTGTGTCAGTAATAGCTCGTTGAACAGGCAAAGAAGGTATGGAAGAGAGAGGGTATGTGCAAGGGTGTGAAGAAGGAAGGAGGATGTACCGAATCCCGCACCGCCGGTCGTACCCGACCCGTGTTTCTCGTGCGGATTTTGATAGGGAGTGTGTGAGTCTATGAGGCCGAGGCGCGTGGTGTTGTGCTCTGGCTCGAGATCTGAGGCGCTGTAGGAGGGCGCGGTGCGGTTACCGTAGCCTGCCATTTAGAAACCGATAAGGGGAGAATTAGGATGTAAGGGGAAAACTTATGGGGGAATAAGATGATGGGATTTCCGTGAGAATTTGGATATTATGTTTGAATTGTTAAGGAGCAGCTCAAAGATATATACATGTAGATGTTGGATACGGCTCTCGTCCAGACGTATGCTGGTCCCGTTACGCACATGTTCAAGGGAGAAGTTTAAGCCTTATGAGGTCATTCTGCTGGGAGATGCGTAGATCAGAGGATGCAGAAGCATTGTAAGAGGCCGATAAGTGTGAGCTAAAGTGTGCTTAGTAGTCTTGTAGGACGCTAGTCTCTTGATTGTGTAGATCGGACGAATGTGGCTGACAAAATGAATCGAATAACTCCCATCAGCTTCGTAGTATTTGTCGTGTTGAAGCACTTGTATTGATTCGTTGATAGCACCATTCCTGAGAGATATCCGTCTCGATACAAAAGCACCCTCTTGTAGTAGCATAGTCTGCCCTGAACAGCATGAAGAAAGTCTCTGGGACCAAATATACGTGTGATTGGATCGGTGCCCAGGAATGATGGGCAGAGGCGATAGATAAAGCCAACATCCATGAGTGGTAGTCGCAACTGCTGATCGAGATAACGATAAGGCCTCTGCAAGATTCCGTTCCATCACTGGCTCCCTAATTCCCGCCAAGATCTGGGGTATCCCACGCTCTTCACGCAGTCCGCCTGAATGATTCTAGACCCAGTACGCCAAGACCCATGAACGCCAGCAATGCACGCGAGCTACAATCGAAAACAAACCCGAAAAGCGCAATGACCTCATCGCACGTATTTGGACTGTCGCATTCTGTCAGCACTGTCGGGTATATCGTGAGTTACAGTTACTTACCATGAACTTCTTGTGAAAGTCGGACCGCAGCATGTCGTTGATGAATTCCTTCTTTTTGTTCCTGTCCTCTGTACCACGTGCTTGGTTCTTGAATACGACATCGTCGTCCCATCGGCGCTTCATGGTAAAGTCTTTGGCGTTGAGCAGAGGGTTACCCCGAGCAACATCGATTTCGCGTTGTTGTTCTTCTTCGGCAGCTCGTTCGGCCTCCTCCTTGGCTTTAGCTGCAGCACGCTCCTTTCTGATCTTCTCGAGCTCCCTCTGGAGGGCTCCTTCGCCGTCTTCATCGCTGTCACAATGTTAGTTGAGTACTCGGTATTTAGGTGCAATATGAACCTACTCATCGTCGCTACTCTCCTCCTCACTACTGCTGCTATCGTCCGCATCCACATCCCTGAACCTTTCAAGTAATTCTATTCGCCGCCGTTTCTGTGCTACTTCATCTTCTTCGCCATCTTCGTCAACTGACACATTGTCAATCTGGCGCTTAGGCGCACTTCCAGACTCGGCCGCGGCGTCCGGCTCTACGTATGTGCCGTTCTTCTTCGCCGCATAGCGCGCCTCTGCCTCCAAGAGCTCGGCGCGCAGGTCGCGCTTGTGCTTGTCGGCATCTCCGCCCTGTCCTGGTTGTCTATGCTTGAGTGTTGTATGCGCAGGGAGGAGTCGCTGGTGGTAGGCAGGTCCACGCTGGGCCTCTTTGCCGCGTGCGGGATCGAACGTAGGTCTATGGGCGGTCGTCATTGTAGAATCGTGTGATTTGGCGACCTCTATTTGACAGTGTGTAGGTTTCGGAAGTCTTGCGTATGGTGGGCGGTGTTTGTAGTTGATGTGCAAAAGATGGCGCATACAGACTCGCGATGATCAAGTCGCGCTAAGCATCGGCGTTCACTTTTCCCCGCGCCGCATTTTCTATGGTTGTCCAATAACCACTTCAATTCCAACCAACACCTTATACATTAAAGGGAGGCATTATGCCTCGAGAAGCTGAGATATCGCTCAATGAGCGCGAATTTATCAAACAAGCGCTTCAAGAGCAAATTCGCATCGACCGGCGCGCTTTTGACGCCTTTCGCCCGCTTGAGCTCACTTTTGGCGATGAATATGGCGTCGCCGATGTGCAACTAGGCAAGACCAGGTACATGAGTACAGTCTAGTTTTGTATGCGCAAGCTAACAAAGCTCAGAGTCATTGCTCGCATCTCAGTAGACGTAACAACACCGCCCCCAGAGCGCAAGTTCGACGGCATCTTCCAGATAGTCACAGAGTTCTCTCCAATGGCGTCACCAGCATTCGAGGTTGGCCGGTATGTCTCATTTTACAACGACCTGTTCTGCGACGATTCTAATCTTGTCCTAGCCCTACGGATGCTGAAGTAATCCTCTCGCGCATACTCGAAAAGGCCATTCGTCGCTCCAACGCTCTCGATACCGAATCGCTTTGCATAATTGCCGGCTTGAAATGCTTTGCTCTCCGCGCAGACGTACATATAGTTGATCATGACGGTGGCCTCATCGATGCGTCCTGCATTGCTGTCATGGCAGCACTACAGCACTTTAGGAGACCCGATGTTGTAGTCGAAGGCGAGAAAGCAACCATTCTCAGCGTACGTGAACGCGAACCGATACCCCTGTCTATTCTTCACCAGCCACTATGTGTAACATTCTCGTATTTCGAAGGGGAGATATTTTTGGTGGATGCAAACCTGGCTGAAGAGCAAGTTCGACAAGGAGAAGTAATTATTACCATGAACAAGCACGGCGAGGTTTGCCAGATCGCCAAATATGGAGGGGCCACTATCCACCCGCTCGCCCTACTCAATTGCACAAACATTGCGCAACAAAAGGTCAAGGACATAGGCGCGTTCATCCAGAAAAGGCTTGAAGAAGATGCGAAGGAAAGGGATACAGGAGGACTGATGGCTGAGCTGAGTGCTGAAAACGCCAGGTGAAGATCTACAAAACAGTTGCATGATACAACAGCCTGAGAGTCTGGCCCAATCGTCTAGCCTGCGATGCTTTCAAATACTAAGGTCGCGCGACCGCGAAATTCGTCCGCCGAGCCATATGCTCGGTCAGGAACATTCCCACGAGAGGACGGGTTGTGGGTCCATCGATGTTGTGGATCGACGGTCCGCCGTATCCCTACACAAAACTACGGGATAACCGAAAACCAGATGGCGAATCGCAAACGTTGGTCATAGGGCTAAGGTGCATGGAGCAACTCAGAGCTCCGGAGAGAGGAATAGTTAATGAATAAGCATAGACATGTGAAAAGAAAATGGATGTCATCCTCGGCACACGACTGATGTGAACACCACTTCTAGAACTTGTGGTTTGGTGATGGCGCTGACAAAGCCCGTCGCTTTAGGATCGGACGAGCCACGACACCTCGGTCCATGCGAGAAACAATTACTCGCATGTTATCTCCCCACCATGAATTCCAAATCAATTTTAGATGTAGCAGGCTTCACCATGTATCGGCCGAGGCGTCACTTGAATATGCATATAATTCTCAAACTTGTGCTTGACAGTTCGTGTTCCGCAAGTTCTCGAATTGTAATCTTGAGTATTGCGTCATAACCTAAGGACCCTGCATTACGTCCCCCCAAACATCTTGCGCGTCTTACTTTAACAGACCCTTCGACTGTCTTCTGAACTCACTTTCCTTCGTTCACACATTCACAAGTTCTCTCGGCCCAGCATGACTTCAAAACTAGTACCTTCCGATCCCGCCAGTGTTATGGTGATTCGAGATGTGGTCCCGCGCATAGTGACTACGCTTTCAGTACCGTTTTGGAGGTTCGGTCGCGTCAAGATCGGCGGAAGAGGAACTATCGGTATATTTTATTTTTCTGGGGTGTCATGAGCCAATAACTAACAATAGCCACAGTGCGCCTTGAATCCGGTGCTCTTGCCGTCTTCTCGCCCGTCGCCTTGACCGAAGATGTCAAGCGCAAAGTGTCTGAGATGGGCGAAGTCAAATACATCGCAGCCCTAGACAACGAGGTATGTCTCTTCTCCATTGTAATAAGAACTTTGCTTAAAATACACCTTACTAAACACTCACAGCACCACATTTTCCTCGGTCCCTGGCACACAGAATACCCTAATGCACAAGTCATGGGCCCAGAGATGCTCCCAGAAAAGCGCGCAAAGCAGAACAACGAAAATGTACCTTTCAGTGTCCTCTTCAGCGCCTCGAAGCCCGTGACTTCCATCTCACCCGAATTCGACGCAGAGTTCGACTGGGAGTATGTCCCCTCGCACGTCAACAAAGAGCTAGTCTTCCACCACCGCCCCACGCGCAGTCTCATCCTCGCAGACCTCATGTTCAATCTGCCAGCAACGGAGCAATTCAGCAAGTCGGGTGTCGACCCAAACACAGGAATCCTAAGCAAGATCTTCAATACGCTGCAGAGCACAAAGGGTGATGCGAAGTGGCAGCAGCGCACCATCTGGTATGGAACCAGTGCAAAGGATCGAAGCGGTTTCTCGAAGAGTATGGAGAAGATTGACAAGTGGGGATTCGAAAGGATCATTCCGTGCCATGGAGATGTTATTGAGGGAGAGGGCAAAGGTATATTTGAGAAGGTTATGAGGTGGCATTTGGATGCTGCGAAGGGGCAGGCCAAGACTTCTTGAATCATGTCGTGCTGTATGGAGAAAAAAAGTGTTTGAGGGTTTGAAGGCGGATTTCGAGAGAGGCAGTAGGTGGAAGGGTTCAGGTGATACCCCAGTTGTTTGGAGATAGTGATGTTTTCTTCTGTTTCTCAATTCTAACCATCCCTGTCTCGTTCATAAGTAATTGACAGCAAAGGATAATTCAGACTATGTTATTGTTCTCTTCATGTCCTCTTCGGCCCTTCGCCTATCTCAACATCCTCTTCAAAACTCCTTCTCCGCACATCTCGCCCGTCATACCCCCTATTCACCCTGTCATTTCTCCAGCCCCAAATCGCCATCACACCAGCCAGCGTGTATGGATTCCTCTTAAACCTTCCTTGCGATACCGGAACCACAACTGGCGAAGGAACCGAGATATCCACCTCCTCCCAATCCCGCATATCCCCTAACTCCTTCGACGCAACAAGCTCACCACATCGTGAAATCTCAAACGGTAAAACCAGATCCTTCATACCACCAAACCCATCCTCCTCCTTCCCCTCAACCCGCCCATCCACCTCCTCCCCATCAAATCCCCCACACCTCCATATCTCCCTCACATACCACAGCACACCCGCCCCCACCCCCAGCGTACCGCAAAACGGCGCACAAACAATCAAAAAGCCCGATACACACAGTAAAAGTTCACTCTGCCACTCCCTTTCATGCTCAATCTTGTATTCCGTTCTCTGAGCATGCGCGCTGAGCCAGGGTGGAAAATGCATAGGAGATTTCTCGACTAGTGCTATGGCGAGAGTGGCTTGGGCGAGGAGGAGAGCGGTGCATGTGATGCCAATGCGGTGGTTGATGATTGGGTGTAGGATGGGGAGGGTGTGTAGAGTGGTGCGGTGGTGTTGGTAGTGTGAGAGTGCGTGGGTGTAGAGGGGGAAGGGGTGGAGGAGGGTGAGGGATAAGCGCCAGGCTAGGAGGATTGGGAGGATGGAGATGTAGAGGGTGAGGCCGGTGAGGAGGTGGAGGAGTTTTAGGGGGGTGGTGAGGAGTGTGTGAGGGGTCATGGTAGAGATAACTTGGAGGGCCGGAGAGTTGGAATTTCGATGTATAGCGCTAGAGTGATACTTGAACGATCATATTTTTTTATTCTGGAGTTGTGACGTGAGGTACCGTGTGTGAAGAGGCTTATTGAAGGCGTTAAAGTGAGCAGAGTGACAAAGTGGTCATCACATTAACCTATACTGTGACTAATTCTTTCAATACGTGACTCTATACTCAGGCGGTATATATTCCAAGTCTAGCCCTTTGAATACTGCTTTTTCTGCATCTTCGGGGGTCCCTTCAACACCATCTGGCCCTTCCACCATGATAGCTTCACCATTAGCTCGACTGCGAATGCCGCTGCTGTCGAATTTCCAGCCCTTCACATGTTTTGCATACCGCCGCAAATCTCGCTGAAATGTCGTGCCACCGCTCCAGCCCATGACTGCACAACCCACCGTTCGCCAAGGTGCAACGATGATGTCGACTCGACGATGAATAGCTGGGTTCTTCGCCTGTGGGTTTCGCTGGAGGTCCTCTTCACGAGTTGGCCAAGCAGAATCCTGCCACACTACTAGTGCTTTATCGAGAGTATCGAATCCTACTCCAGCTCCTTTTGCGGAACGAAAAGGTAACGTGTGTTGTCCGCGCTTCGTGTTTGCCAAGCTCATCGTCAAGGTGTGCGTGATCCACTGAGCATCTTCCAATGACTCGACAATTTCCTGAACTAATCCCGCTGTACTTTCCAATTCAGGGTGCGATACGATTATATCCACATCACCGGAAACTGATTTGCCACGTCTATAGCCACCGACTATGGTGACACTGATACGTTTGTCCCGGAGTTTTACCGCATGGTCTCGAACAACAGCGGCTATGTGTTCGACTTCAGCACGTGGAATCGGCTCTTGAAACTCTTCATAGTATTTGATGCCAATCTGCTGCACTCGGTCAAGGTCATTCCAGCCATGTTCAATGATATCGTCCAACTCCGTCCAGTGGTTGTCGTAGTAAAAATGTCGCGCCGTCTTTGCTCCGACACCCCATATATCATAGAATAAACGCAGAACCTTCATTGCCTCATCGTTATCATAGTCCTCGACTTCCTTGATTTTACCGGTATTCTTCCATTCAACGAAAAGAACCGCAGTCTTCTCGTCACACCCTGGTAATTGCGCAATCTCACGTGGGTGACTGATCTTGTACGGATAGGCTGCAATGGCTGCAATAATGGTCGAGTACGCACGTACGCCTATCTCATCCTCGATAAGGATCCGATTAGTCCTAATCTTCTTGAGTTGGTCTATGAAATCCTCATTCGGCCCGCTGGCGGGTGTAAAGCGCTGGCATGCATACTTGACGCTCTGCTTCACCCACTCGGGCGGTGGCGGTATATCACTATCTTCACCTTCATACTCACTCGTCGTCTGCTGAAGCAGAAGCGCCGTCTGTGAAGCAAAGGAGTGGGTCGAAGGCTGAGAGGGCGCTAAATTCTTGTTACCGAAGCGCCGAGGCGCTTGATTACCAAATTGGGGAGGCTGATGTGTAGTTTTGCTTGTCACTGTAGGCGCATCCAACTTTGCTCGATCCAGGATGTTTTGTGACTGACGTGGCACCGCGGGTTTGAGTGTCTGAGATGCAGGTGGCTCTTTTGGCTTTACTGAAAAAATATCCTTGATGGATTTGGTGCTGCTTGGTTTTGGTCGTTGCTGCACTTTGCCCTGATACATCAAGTTGTCGCCTAGAGGAACGAGGTGCCCTGCGCTTACACAAGCCTCTATCCAATTCAAGTTGACAACCCAAACAATGTCAATGCTTGAACCGTTCTCGACGATCGTTGGAAAGGGCACTTCGTCTTCAGCATGCAATGGCGGAGACTGTGAAAAACTCGACTTCTGGATCGGCGCTTCGTCTTCATTGTCGGACGTCTCTTCGGCTCCTTTCTTCGCAGCATAACCCTCTTGACTAGCCGAGATAGTTCCATCTGGCGACTTGAAGACCCTTTGTTTCTTGTTAGGTGTTCCTATCTGTGCAGGACTAGCACGGCGTTTCGGCGTTACAAATTCTTCAGCGATTAGGTTCCTCGAGCGCAACTCAAACGCAGCTCTTCCCTTAGTGCCCACCTTACCTAGGAGTATTTTTGCCCTTGACATGTCCGTAGTGAGCGACGCATTGTACAGGCGCAAAGTTTCTTTGAGCAATTTTTCTTCATCCTGGTTCAAGCGTGTTTTCAGTATAGCTATCGGCGGAAGCTTACTCAAATCAAAGCCTGCTTTAGGTGTTCCTGATGTCTGAGATAACGATTCTGCGCGCGCCGTCTTAGCATGGCGGTCCATACCGGATAATATCGTGTTGGTGAGATGGGTTCCAGTCAGGGTAGTCAAGATGTATCTAGAAAGCGCATCCTGTTTCTTCTCCAAGTAGAATGTCTGAATGCGCGAATAGTCATCGTTCTGAGGCGTCGGTTTCCATACGACAAAATCAGAAGCTCAACTGTAACGATCACGAAAACTCTAGTGAATGCCGTTTCCAACGTCACAGGGCCCTGGATGACGTTGGTGTGAGGTAGGGAGGTTGGGGGCTGACAGGAGGCCCTTGGCAGGTTTGCATTGTTTTGACATACGATGACCAGGCACTGGTGTCTGTGCGCCCCGAATATGTTTGCTGCTAGCCTTCCCGCGTTGACGCGCAATCAGCTACGACGTCTTGTTTCACCCCTGCGTCTTTCGAGACTGAACCCACAATCCTCCAAGCCCATCCCTCGGTCTAGTACGTATACATCAGCCTCATTGTCCACACATAGCTGAGCTGCTGTGACAATGTTTGTTCAATTCTTCCAGTCGATATATTGCTGGAGTCGTCAGCATCGTCAAGAGTATGGTACTGTGTAGATGCCTGCAATCTATCAGTCCAAGCCATCTCAACTTCAGCCATTAGGGTTCCTACTGCTAAATGGGAGACGGCATCTTCGCATGATGACGGCAGCGTTTAGCATCATGCCACGGCTGGACCGGTTGAATCGCGCCACCTCCAGTGGACGGCCCCTAGGGCAAACGCTGCAAGGGCACCGAATGCGGGCGCGAATCGCCTCGTTTGTTTCTTCCACGCCACCGATCCTTGCCGTCTAGTGCGCGGACCTCTGTTTCGGAATAATAACGGCACCACGTCAATCCCGGAAGGCCTTATAGCTGCGCCCTTTGGTGCGTACACATATAGCATGTAAGCCCGTAGGATTAAGGTTTGGGCATTCTGATACACCCTAAGCGTACCGCTCTTCAGTAGCTACCCCGGCCTGTCCGTGGACCGATATATACAAGTGGGTATCGCCTCAGGCTCCATCTGTTCATTCTTCAACCCTTGCCTTTCGTTTGTGGTTGAACTACATATTAGCTCTATCCTTCTTCTACATTCTTTTCGCTACTTTTGATAAGAGCGCTGGTATCTTTGTGTGTATTCATACTACACCCACTTCGCTTTGACAGCCACCAAAAGTTGATTGAATTCGAACTATCAACACCAGCACCCCCTTCTCTCCTTCAACATGCGCTCTTACATCTTCATGGTCCTCGCGGCCCTCTTCGCACTTGCTTGTGCAGTACCAATCACACCATCAGCACCTCGACTTCAAAAACGGGCTGAGCAATACCGACTACAGGGGCTGGCAGAGGTATGTCTTTGGGAATATTCAATCTGACCAAACCCATGTACTAACTTGAACAGTTCCAAATTGCTGAGCGCCTTTCATCTTCAGCGTCGTCATTTGGCGTTGATCCTTGGCGGGCCCGTCTCAACAAGAAGTTGCACGCACTTCTGGATGCTCCATCAATAGATGAAGAGGGAAAGATCACAATCGAGGAGGTAGAAGACTTCTCTGGCGATATCGCACCTGGTACTCTGGAAGCGCCCTCAGCCCTTCCCAAGGCCTTGAAGGAAGCCAGTATGTATGACAGGCTATGTGCGATGTTCCACCGCGCAGAGAGCAGTTTTGGGTATGAGGGCAAGGAGTTGGAACTGCGTCGACCTGAAGGAGTCCAAAACTGGAAGCAGTCTTTTGGAAGTTTCCGCCGTCGCCATTAGTATCAAATACTTGATCGTTTCTTCTTCTTCATTTGATCGGACATGCAGTGATGACAATACTTGAAATGCTTATTGTTTTCAAAAGAGAAAAGTAAATGGCGATTGATACTCTGATATGCCGATCAGATCCATGTCTATTGCTACGCCCGCTCATCAGTTTACCCACCCTATAATTATCAAGATGATGCCGTTTAACGCCAAGTCATGTCCCAAAGAAAGACGGTCAACAATCAAACACCCATAGTGAAGTCATGCTCTATGCCTGGTGTGACACTGTTGTGTGTTAGCATGGTCCTTTGGTAATGGGACAGATCAACTTACCTAGCCATGAACTTGAGGAAGACAACCAGATACTGATCCACGCGTATAGCCACCTCTTCGTCATCACCCTCGCTCAGCACCTCCCAGTCGTCCTTGGCTTCCTCACCATCCTTGCCCTTGGCTTGCTCGGTTAGCTTCAGTAACCGTGTGTCATCAACCAAGGCTTCCATGCCGCTATCGAGCTTGCTAACGTCTTTGCCAGCCTTGAGCTTGGCGAGTCGCAGCTTCAAGGCAGCATCAGCGCGGTCGAGAAGCACCTTCATGACGGATGCATGTTTACAAGGGTGTACTGAGGCCGTCTTGAGAGGGTTCTCGAAGAAAGGAAAGTCCTCGATTGTGACGGTCTTGTCCTTGTAGTCTCCGACAATATCCTCCATCATCTCCTGGGGTTTTAGTGGAACAGAGGTGGAGCCATAACCAGAGAGGTATAACCGTGGTGTCCGGTAGTGTGCTGAATATGTGATGTAGAGCGTGTATGTGCGCAGAGGACTGTGGAGAGTGTCAGTATGTCTTGAATCTTCAGGCGCAGGGGGCGTGGGCTTACGCCTGCGTGTTTGACTCAGCCTGTGGATCCCTTATGATGGCCTCGTCATCATCCTCAATGTCCTCCATGTCGGGGATCTCGTCGTCATCCTCTGCTGCGCCCAGGTTGCCGCTCTCGTCGACTGTCCGCACGTCGCGGACCTTGGCCTCCTGGCTAGCTGCCATGCCACCAGTACGCAGCCAGCCGTCGTCATCGGTTGCGCCTTCCCCGGCGTTAAAGCCGTCTCTAACTATCGTTTCATCTTGGCCGGCTTCTCCAGCAAAGTTGTCGTCGAGACGGCGGTGGCAGGGTACGCCGCGCGTTACCAAGAACTGCTTGCCCTCAGGCAGGTATGAGACGCGTTTCGATGGGGATGACGCATCCGCCCACTGCCACGAAGGGAACTTGAAGACGAGAAAGTCGCCAGCAAGCACAAACTCCTCGGGCGTGATCTGGCCCGTCTCACGGAACGTCGATGTGTGGCTGATGGCGGCGGTGCGCTCACGGAAAGTGTCGATGTACGACCTGACAAAGTTGTAGGCCATGGCGATGTCAAGGCGAGGCGATGCGAGGCGATGCGGGTGGTACAAGGCTTTGGTTTTTGAGGTGGAGTTGTCTGGCGCAGTGTGTGTGTGTGTGTGTATGGAGTAGGGTGTCTGTAGTACCTTCAGCGTGCATTGGAGGGGTGGCGGGGTTAATGGCCGATGGTGCCTGTTGTGGGCCCTGACACCAGCCCGTCACCCCTCCCACTCACCTGCTTCCCTTCTTCCACCCCCACTCGTCACAAGACAAGATCCAGCCCCATCACGTACCATGCCCTGTCACGCTTTTCTTTTGCATTATGGTGACGCAACTCTGCTTTGGCCCTGCCAAGCGTCCATATTTGCTTTCTTATCTCGCTGCAAGCTTTCCTGACTAAACGTTCCGTTCAGTTACACCTCTAGCAACGCTCGCATAAGCAGGCACCTTTACCCTGTTTGTGACTGCAGACCTCCATGCAACCTCGCTTGAGTCGAAGTGGCATGTGTCGCATAGCGAGCCCTATTGTCGCACCCGGCTTGTGCGGTCGTGCATTTCTACATCGTTTGGAAATAGCTACGTCCCCTGTCGAAGTCGCGCCTAATCTGGACATATGGTCGCTTTGTAGTCTTTCCTATCCTTCGGCTCCATCTTGGAGAATGCCAGTGTCACTGTATGTTTCAGTTTTGACAAGCCTCATGTTCAGCTCGTCTCGAACGTACCAAAGAACACTTTTACTTGGCTGTCCCTGAGCAGCTGACTTGGATAAGCGTGTTGGCTTCACAGAGTACATGTCAACTTCTTTCCGTGAAATGACTCCATGTGGAAAAAGATCGCCAGGCGAAGATTCACAGAGCAAAACATCATTACCAGCAGGTTGCTCATCTTTTGCGCAGTCGTTTCCTATTTCGGTATTATTTGCATCTGTCGCACAGAAGATCCTCGCTAGTATCATTGGTGTTCAGGATATTCCAGAGACGGCACGACTTCGCAACAGCTCTTGATCGTCACCTGTTGCCGTCATTGACGCAGCTTTGACCCAGGTTTGCAGTACCATTTCAGGAAATGGCAGCTTTTGTTATCATGCCGTTTCCCAGCTAGGCATATGCAGTGACCTGAGCACGAGGACGAGGGTGCAGAGTTGCAACATCCTGTACAGATGTTGACAAATGGATGTTTAACGGCGTTATCTCTCCAGGGTTCATTGAACGGAAACCTACAGGAAATTGGTGATGAAACCAGCGGTTCATTCAGGATCTTGCTTCTATTGATACTCCTCATCGTCAGTAAAGTGGCATGGCGTCTTTTGGGATCGGTATAGCCATGAACGTATGGAGCCCATGAGGACTCTCAACATGTCGAGCCTCAAATATTCGAATTTTTGCGCATCTTTTACACTATCGGAAGCCTCAAGGTCTCCAATCTCATAACGTATATATTCTGTTGGCGTGCTCCACGACTCAAAACTGGGTTTGATTACTGGACATCTAAGAAAGGTGTAGTACTACGGTACAAGCTGTCAACCATGCACCTCATCTCGTTTCAGGGTACATCTCCGGGGACGATACTGCTTATTCCCAGGCTTTGTCGAGATATCGAAGGGGATGTGGTCGCGGTTTGCATACGCCTATTCGGGAATGTGCTCTCTGGGATATTGACAAGTCCGAGCCAGATGCAGTCAAATGCTTTTCTACTGAATCACTGCGTTTCTTGGACAGACAATACCCCATGTCATCTACCAACTGTTTTACAGTATACTCGAGGGGGATTAAGGTACACAGAGTCATGTCAAAGACTTGACAGCAGCCACAATCTCCCTAGCCCAGCACTTGTAACCAGAACAACCAATGCCGGTCAGATACAACACGAATGCGAAGTCATGACAATCTGCCAACCTCCTATCATGTCAGTTCATCATTCCAACACCAACTGTGCCTATAGAATCTTGTGCGGGATAGCTTACGCGTACATAAAACCTAGTAGGTCGAACATACCTAATCAACCGTACGACTATATACATACATATATACCCACCCCCCAGAACTTATTTACCTTAACTGTTATCCTTTGCATACTTCCAAACTACCACTACATACTTACCAACCAGTCGTCCACCCACTGCACGCCTCTCATGGCAGATGATCCAAACGCGACAGCCAACGGGGCTCAGCCACGATGCGGAGGATAAAAAAACGCTCACAGAACTTAACACTTCTACTCCCCCACCGTACGTGCATTCATCTACTCCAGCTTTGGAATCATACCCACTAAACACGAGTTTCGCCTGGTTTAGCCCCTACCATGATACCATAACCTAAAAATATGCTTCTTTGTCCCCCCCCCCCCCCCCCCCCCGCTCCTCATTACCAATGATTCAACATGCACCTTCCAAACACGACTAGTCGGTTGAACGTCTGAGAAGGATGAAGAGTGTGTGCCGCCACTCCTTGCTGGTGAGACATGCGTGTTGTGACTTTCTTGTTTCTCTTTACCTCTCTCGCCTCTATATTCAGCGGATGGAGGCATAGTGTTTTGTATCTCGTGTGTTGAAGTTATAAAGAAACTCGTTCAACTTACTTGCTGTTGACATGTCTTACTGATTTGCATCTCTCTCTTTATACATACATATACACATTAAATATCATGTTTGTTTGTTTTTCAAGTTATTCCATATACGCCCACCTACCATCCTCGTAGTCTGCATAGCTCGACATCACTGCACACATGTCGCGCGAAGGATGAACACGAAGAGAAGAAAGACCAGTAAAAGACAGATGGACCAACGATATATCAGTACGGAGAGAATGTCACAATCACATAGAGAAGCCAGACACTGTTTTTGAAGATAGATAGTAGACATATAAAAAGAATTCGTTGCACAATACAAAAAGGAAAGAAAAAGAGACCCTTGTCCAACCAACACCAAGCAAAATCCATATGACCAAAGTAGACATAAAAGGGAGAGTTGATACCAAGAAACGTGGACATGTATCGTGTTATGTCGGTCGCGTCGTCTGTTTTTTCTTTCAATATGCTCGCCAGCAGATACATAAGTGCACAGATCCGAATCATATACAGGAAGATGGTACTGCTTTCCCCCCAATTTGCAACACCACAAAATCTAAAGAAAAGAAATAGGGCATGAGAGCTTTGGCATCCTACACCACGCCTCCCAAAAACCCCCTTTTCCAAAAGTCAAGAAATTTTCATCCCTTCAACAAGATTTTAACGGCGGATGCTCGTCGCAGGGGATGCATTTCTGCTTACTCTCCCACGTCGCTGGTTGCCACCAGGAGCCTGCTGGTGCTGAGGTGGCGCGTACATGCCGTATGGAGGATACATGCCCGGCATACCTTGGCCGGCGAGGTTAGCCGGTTGCATCATCGGTGATCCGTTGAAGCTACCCGGGCCTGCAACAGGTGAGGCGTTGCGGTAGGCATCCATACCAGGAGCTGACGGTTGGAAGCCGTTCATCTGAGGATAGAACTGACCCTGTCGGGCCAAGAGCTGCTGGTATTGCATCTGCTGTTGGTTGTTCATGCCCGGCATGTTTGGCATGTACCCGCCCATTGGGAACTGCTCAAAGCTGTTTGAATCCATGCTTGTTGTGCGCTGGAGCGCGACAGGATCGTAGCCGGGGGGAGGAGCCTGGTAGAAGTTGCCGGCGTTGGGTGCTCCAGATGCGACGCTGTCCTTGGACGCTGGTCGAGTTGCGGAATGGTCACGTGGACCAGGTCCGCCGCGGGTAGAAAGGCCGACCTCGTCCATGAGACGCTTGTAGCCTTGTTGTGGCTGCGCCTTGATGCGCAGGAGCACATTGCGTACGTTTTGCACAACATCGGCGCGGATTTGCTCATCAAAGAAGGGTGTGGTAAGTACCTTGAAGATCAAGGTAGCACCGCAGTTCTGGTCAGCCAGGATGCTTTCTAGCACCTGATCGTTTGGTGAGAAGAAGAGTGCTTGCAGAATAGTATCGCGAGCCTCAGGCTCGTTGCGCTGGTTGATGATCTTCAAAACAGTGAGGTATGCAACTTTGTGGGTGCAGAGGTGGACAATGTGTGGCACCAGACGAGGAGCCAGAACTGTACGTCTCCTTGGGAAAGTGCAAGTATCGAGGAACCAGGTCAAGAGGAGAGCTCCGTTGGCATTGGTTGCCAATTGGACACTGTGGAGAGCAATCGCAGCAGCCACCATTCGCTGTTGGTCCTTTGTAGCGTAGTGGCTCTCCAAGCAAGCCCTCATAGCGCGAGCACCGAATCGGCCTTGCGCGAGATTCCAAAGTCTACCGAGCATGACCTCGAAAATAAAGTCATTAAATTGCTGGTACTTCAGGCATCCCTGCATGACATAGTTGCCAAACTGATCAAGGAAGAGTGCCATGGCGTAGGGTCGAACAGCATCGACAACCATCTTCTGCATCGTTTCGGACTTGGAGACATCGATGATCTTCTGTGCAGCCCAGGTTCCATTCTTGTGCACACCGATCTTGGCCAGGTGAGGAGCAATCTCGCGAAGCATAGCCTCCTTGGTGGGTTCTTCGCAGAACTCAAACAGCTTTTGCACAACAGTGTTTCCGAGGTAGTCAGAAGACAGCTCAGCAATTTCAGGAAGCATTGCCATGGCAATGTTCTCAATATCTTCCTTTGAGCAAGAACCATTGTCAATGCGCTTGCGAATCTCGCGCAATCTGGGGGCATCATGGATGCGAGTGTGGCTTGGCTCCTCAACCGATGGGATCTCATCCACGTAGTTGTTGAACTGAACAGCCTTCTCAACCTTAGCAGAGATGCTCGTCTGCTCGTCGTCGGTAGCACCCAAATCTTTCACAATTTGAATAATGTCGTTACGGATATCGCTGAGCTCCGGAGTAGTCAATGGCACATTTGCAGGAACGGTACTCAACTTGGCTGCAGATGCAGAACCAGCCGCACCTTCAGCCTGGGCCTTGGAGAGGGGATCTGGGCTTGGTGAGGGGAAGAGACCGTTGTGACCGGGGGTTGCTGCCGCACTTGGAATCTTAGCATAGCCAATGCGCACAGGACCGGCACCAGGGAAGATTTCCTTTCCATTCAAAGTAGACTTGGCCTGGACGGCGCTCTCGAGGTTTTCGTAGTTGACAAAACCGCAGTTCTTGTGAGTAAGAACGCGTGTAGATTCGATGTTACCATACTGAGCAAAGATGACCTGTAGCGATGAGACGGTGGTTGAAGAGGGAATGTTGCCAAGCCACAGCGATCGAGTGGGTCCTTCCAAAGTTCCGTCGTCTCCCAAGTTGGAACCTGGCAGATGAAGCTTCTTGACAGCCTCTGTGAGGTTGTACTCGGCATCCTCTGTCATGTCACCAGAGCCCATACCGTTGTCAAAGCGTCCCATGGCAGGCAAGTAAGAACGCATTGCGCCTCGCGAGGGGGCGTCAAGCACACCGGCGGTGCGAGCTCTGGGGCGTGCATTGGAAGCAATATTGGCGAATGCCTGGACCTCGAGGTTGTGCTGGCGGACAGCTTCATGGATGAGCAGTGCGTTTGCTTCAGCAGGAGTCATGGCGCCACTGTAGCCGCCATACTGATCCTCCTCGTCCTCGGCGTACTTTTCCTTTGCGTTGACAGAGTAAGAACGGAAGCGGTTTGCGCTGTTGGTACTGTGGCTGTTTGCATTCCGCTGGCTTTCCAACAGAAGCTCAATGTCTGAAGGGGCCAAAGTAGCTCGTGCAGGTTGAGGAGTGTCGACCAAGCCAAGGTAGTCTAGAGTCTTGACATCCGTGTCTGCAAGGGAGTCACGAGAGAAGGAGGACCTAGGAGAGCCCGGGCCATTGGAGGGCACAGAAGCAATGCTTTGGAGCGTGCTGCTGCGGTCGCGGCTGTTTGACCATCCATTGGAAAAGATGGGGTTACCGAAAGGAGACACAGAGGGCTGGAGGTAGCCCGGTCGCTGAGGCATTGAGCCCGCACGAAGGCGCGAGAGCAATGCAGACTTGGCTGCAGCATTTGTAGATCCAAGAGCGTTGAAGCTCGAAGTATCGGTGGGTGTACCTGGGCCAGGCTTAAAGGGGCTGGTGGAGGGAGTCGGTCGCGAGCTCTTTGGGAGGAGTGACGAGGCGGACATGAGGCCCGGTGGGGCAGCAGAAGGCGAGAAGCGCGAAGGAAGCGTGCCGGCACGGGCACGGCGACCCGTGGGCGCAGCCGAAACCGTCTCTGGCGCAGAGTTGTTGAAGTCGGGGAAGCTCAAATTCTCGCTGTTGGGAGACTCTGGAATGGTCTCGCGCAACGGAGTCGAATTACCACTGGTAGGAGGGCCCCACATCTGCGGATTCAAGCCCTCTTGCGCTTGGATCTCACGTGCACTGTGATTGCGTTAGCTCGAGTCGTGCCTTGTTTCAAGATGCGACAAACCGTTTGGAAAATAGTCTACCGCCATATTCGTGCGATGGGGAGCCTGCGCCCAGCCTGGTGCTGGCGGCTGCAGCGCCCAATGGGTTCGACGGATTTCCAGAGAAGCGGAGGGAGCCACTGTTGGGAGGCTCTACGGGGGACGTGTTACCGGTCGAGGAAGAGCCCGAGAGCGGGGGCTGGGGCAACTGGGGGATATAGTTGAGGTTGATGTGGTGGTCGGAGCGGTTGGAGGGAGGAGCCATTATGGATTACAGACCCTGTTGTAACGGCAATAATCTAATGCGGGAAAAGGCGGTCGTGATGACTCGGTTACCAAAAGCCAGGGTAATTGTTTTCAAAAGAAAAACGCAGGTTGGTGCCGGCCAAAGGAATGTGAGGCAGAGGGATTAGTTCCAGCAGAGGCGAGGCTCGGCTCAGGGCAAGCGTGTTGCAATGTGGGTAGGGCGATGCCGAGGGGCTGAGGCAACGACGGCGAATGGATCCAGTCCGGATAGTGCGCGATTGCCGGCAATGGCTAGAGTGAACTCGCGATGCTTCAATTCGGCGCCGAGTATAGGCCGGATTCGGGCGATGTTGCAGCGGGGGGGGCCAACGCTGACAAGACGAGTGCGGAGGAGCGAGCTGAACTAGGCGAGAGCGCAGGGCGAGCCAAAGAGCAGCTGGGGGGCGTTTATGTACAGAGGCAGTAGAACCGTCGACTAGAGGGACGGCGGGGCGTCGAGAAGGAGTGACGGGCGAGAGCGGCAGTGCGCAGTCGAGGGACGGTGGCGGGCCTCTGTATGTGGGGAGAGGGGTGGGATTATGGGGAGTGGAACTGTACAGCAGGCGGGCGGAATAGACAGATCACCGGAGTGCCTGGAGAACAGAAGTAATAGGGATTAAGCAGAAGGCCGACTAAGCATTCGAGCTCATGGAGAATGGCCAATGTAGCTAGAGACCACTAAAGGGCGTCGAGGAGGAGGGGGAAGGAGGGAGAGGGATGAGCAATGGGATGATGATGCGCGGTGGGAGGGTTTGGGTGAGGTTTCGCTTGATAGAAATGGGGAGCCAGGCTAGGAAGACGAGCGGTCTAGCCTGATTGGGCGTGGCTGGCAGAGCAGGCACGTTACAGGTTGCGGCCACGATGCGGGCGGGCGGCCGGCTGCGGTGCTGGTGCTGTACTGGTGCTGCTGGGCTGGACGGTGGTGAAGCTGCCGCTCGTGCTGGGCGTGGTTGCATGGACGAGGATACGGGAGAGAAAGAGGGATATGTAGATGGGTGGATAGAGGTTGATTGTGTTGCTTCTCTGGTGCTGTTCGTTTACTCTGTCTCTCTCTCTCTCGAGTGTTTCTTGTAGTACGGCCGTCTCCTACTGCGCCTACATACTACCGACCACAGGCTTACCACGACTATCTCTCTACTCGTGCTACTGCTCCTGCTGGGACCATGACTGCACGCCTGCAGCTTATTGCTTTTGGACAGATTTCAGGGGCTGTCACCCTCTGGTGTGGACAAGGCCCGCCTGGATGGCCGCGGAAGAGTGCAGCGCATGCCCGCAGCGTCTGAAACACAGAGGCGCGTCGAGAAAGGCCGTCAGTCGAGTATCTGACGTGGACTCTGGTTTGCCTCTTGTGGCTGCACCCGCTGATTGGCCCCGCCCAGCCAGACGATAATCTTGTGCAGTTGCGGGCCATGAAACTTTGTCAACCACGCCGCGCACTCGACAACTGCTCAGCGCCCTTGGGCCTGCTCTCGACCGCTCCTGGCACTCGCTGCCGCTCAAGGGCCTGCTCGACGGCCGAGCCAAGTACACGACGCTTGAGCGCCCTTGTTGGAGCGCGTGTCAGACTGCCACACGATGGGGCATAATACTTCTAGAGCATTGATTACCACTAGCCCACATGTGCTGCACATAGACAAGCCGGCAGTGAGATGCACTCTCCACCACACTCGGGGGCCAGTGACATGCTGCGGGCCCTGGGAACTGCCGCTGCCCATCAATCGCATACTTACGCATACGCGCTCGCTGTCATCCTCGTCGTCGTCTTCGTCGTCGCTGCTCTCCGATCCGAGTCAGGCCCAGCCGCTGTCCCCTACCCGCTGCATTGGTGTTGGCGGCCTGCCCGAATCGCCCATTACCCATTGCCCATTGCGCACAGCACATCGCCCATCACCCGTCGCGTCCACTTGCGTGCCGACCACCCATCACCACCGACCGTTGCGGCAACCCTCCCCAACAACGGTCCTTGAAACAAAATGCCCCGGCACGCATAACTGCATTAGCCCAGCCAATGATTCATACTGTCTCATGGAACTATTCTGGAAGACACGTCGCCCTTCCAAATTCAGCTCATTGTGCCTCAGGCCCTAGCCGTGATTGATCGTTGCTCGCTTGCACCTTCCCTGCCAACCCTCGTGCCTGCCTTTCAACTCACCACCGATAATGTCTGAGGCCGCGTCCAACATCGCAATGCAACACGCCCCACCACCCTCTCCTCCCCGCGACCCGTCTCCACATTCCGACAATGACAGCGACGATGAAGCCCCCGCCGAGCTCATGGTCACGACGCGTGCTCGCCGATCCAATGCCGGCAACCGCATGTCCACCCTGCTCGCGCAATCCGCCGAGGACGAGCAATGGGGCGAGGAATGGGATGAGGCGCCCGACGAGGAGGAGTTCCAGGGCGACCAGGTAGATGAGCACGATGACTACAACCTAGACTCGTCATCCTCGGAAGATGAAGATGGCGGCGCCGATGACGATGATGACGCGGGTGAGAAGGAGCTGCGCAGGGCCGAGCGGCAAGAAAGGAACAAGAAGCGCAAAGCCGCAACAAATCCCTTTGCTGCGAGAAGCGCCGCCGCTGCACACAAGAGAGTCAAGCTTGACGTCCCCCGCACCCAGTCTCCTACACATGCCCCGCCACGGCCTAAGAAGAAGTCAGAACGCGCATCATGGCTGCCCACCGAAGAGGACGGTCCCGTCCGAATGTCCAACCGGAAGCAGACAGTCGCCAACAAGGACGCTACGCTGGCAAAGCTCAAGGAGAAGGACCGGCGGCGGGACGACACTCTGGCCATGATGAAGGCTGCCGAGGCGCGAAAACTAAAGGCCAAGGAAAAGCCTTTGACGCAAGCTGAGAGGCTCGCTGAGGCCGCCCGCAACGAGCGCATAAATAAGAAGACATTGCACAGGTGGGAGGAGGCCGAAGAAGCAAGGGCAGCTGAGAGGCAGGCCAAAATAGATGCCTTAAAGAACCGCCAAATCGATGGGCCCTTTTATCGCTACTACAGTGGGCCGGGCATTTGGGTTGATGATAAGCTCAAGTACACTGGCAAAGACGCCCCAACCCCGGAGCAACTTGAAGAAAAATTCAACAAGGAGATCGAGGCTGCAGAAGCGGCAATCGCTCAACCAGAGTCCGAAGCAGAGCAGACAAACCCCCTAACACAAAACCCTACGCAGCCATCTGAAAACCATGCAGAGGACAGTCAACCGGTGTTCGGCCCCCTAGCCCAAATCCAGTCTCCAATAAGGACATCCCATACGCCTCCTATACCCACGACGTTACCAGTGCGGCAAGATTCACTACATTTGCCGTGGACAGCAGCAGCATCTCAGAGTGGAGATGTTTTCATGGGCTCTCACGGCATGTCAATGGCAAGCAATGTCATGTTCGCACCCACTAGCCAAGATTCGTCATTCCTCTTCGGCATTGACCAATTTGCTCAAAATCAACAGCCCCAAACACTGCCTGGTGATCTCCCGCCGAATCCTTTTACTCAAGCATCTCCATTCCAACAGCAACAACCAGTCCCACAGCCCTCGTTCTCAGAAACACTACACCCTCCGCTCAACGATCCATCAATGCCACAAATCAACGGCAACCCATCAATCGGCCCCGAAGCTATGCTTGCCCAATTCCAAAAGCCCGTCTTGCCGCCTGCACCACCGCGCCGCAAAACCATCCGCAGAGCCCTCAGAAACCTGCTCATCCTCTCCAATTTCCCCAACCTCGAAGCGCCAGCCCCGACATCTTCAAGAGCAAGAACTAGTGCTTCACTTCTCAAGGAAAAGGATAAATCAGCACTGGTACAGCTTTACACGGCACTCTTTAACTGGACTCCTACAGAAGCTGCAAACTACATCCAACAAACGCTCATTGCGCCTCCTAAGCAGCCCAGAAAAAACGCTGCGCACAAGGCCGATGCAGAACCAGTGCTCAAGCCAGGTCAAAAGCTGTGTCCTATTACCAACACAATTGCCCGATACCGCGACCCAGAAACGGGCATTGCATACCGGGACGCACGCGCCTTTGGCGTGCTCCGCGGCGTTGTCGGTGGCGGCTTCGTATGGAGCGGCGATCTGGGCTGTTATGTAGGAGGCCGAGCGAAGCCACTGGAAAGTATGGGTGGCAAAGGGTTTCTGGGCATGCCACCCGCTAAAAATGTGCCTCGTCGCTTTGTGGAAATGTCGAGCCCCAGGTCCGGAAAGAAGAATATGCCGCCTCCGCCACCGACGCCTACGCCGGGGAAAACACCGGCTGGAGCAGATGCGACTGGGAATGGGGCGGCGAGAGAACAGGGACAGCAAGTACAAACTCCGGTTCAAGGACGCACACAGGGACAACAGCCAACTGATGAGGCACAGCGAGGTGCAAGTACAACACCAGTGATGGGTGCTCAACAACAACAACAACATCAGAGTCCAGCCCCAATCAAGACTGAAGCCAATAGTGCTCCGTCGTAAAAGAAACAAGTAGAAAGGAAAGAAAAAAAAGTAGAAAAATTCTCAGTCTGTATTATATAGATCTGCTCACACAGTAGCATCAACATCACAATGATATAATAAATCACCTTTTGTACCAGCCCCCCCCCCCCCAAAAAAAACACATATACAAATTGCACATGAGCAAAGTGAGACAAGAAAATGGAGTGGAAGGGGTAGTTAGGGCCAGGTGACGAATCAATTGGAGGATCGTAAAGTCCATGATATGCATTGATGGTTAGCAGACAATTCATCTCAAACGCCATCCGTCTTGTCGTGTCCATCCGCAAGAGTTTTCCAGGCAATGGTAGCTAAACATGCCCATGCCCGCAGACGCAACTCCGTTCCCACCATGATGAAGAAACCGCAGCAGGCGGAACAGTAGTAGTTCCAGAGAAACCGCCACTCTCGACCCCCCAAACAATGACCTTTGTAACCAGTCATCATCATCATCATCATCGTCAGCAGCAGCCCACTCCAGCCGCTTATTTCTTCTCCTTCTTCGCGCCACCCTTGGCCTTGGCTGTGCCTCGGAAAGTCTTCATCCTGTTCTTGCGTTGCTTGCCTGTTTGCCCTAGTCAGTATATTCATGTCCTTTTCAATCTCTCCTTTTTTTTGAATCCTTCTACCCCATGTGCCTTTATTCATAGAACCAATGCTTGATCCACAAGACCATGTAGGGTATCGGCGAGGGAAACGTACGCTGCTGCCTGCTGGCCTTCTCGACCTTGGTGGCCATGCCGTATCGTACTAGCCTGTAGCGGGGCTCGAACTTCTTCATGGCCTCGGCACTGTCGTAGATGAGAGCGAAGCCGGTGCTCTTGCCGCCACCAAAGTGTGTCTTGAAACCGAAGACGGAAACATCCTCCTTCTTGGCCTTGTACAGCTCACCGAGCTTGCCACGGAGCTCGTCCTTGGAAACGTTTGCGCGGTTGGGGTGGAGGACGTCGCTGTACACAATTCCCGTCAGACTCATCAATTCCCTTTTCCACAATCACCTTGTCCGGTGTAATTGCTATGTTTTTTTTCGGTGTCGTTTGCACTTACACGACCATCTGACGGCGTCCGAGAAGAGGGTTGCGGATGAACTTGCGCGTGCGCAGGGTAACTTGAGAGTCGGCCATGATGGATAAGTTCGACCTGCAGCGACGGCTGTTAGACGTCGGTTCACAAATGACAGTAGGGCGAGCAGGCTTGCAAGTTGCACGTACTGGACAGAGATCGATCCTGCTGTTTGTCGATTCGCTGTGGTTAGTAGCTGGCGGCGGGATAGAGATGTCGAATTTGCGGTGCGTCGTGTCGGCGGTCGGCGGTGCGCCTGCCTCGCTTAGACTGCCAAGACGCCCCGCTGCAAAATTAGGTAAGCGGTCGAAGGGCAGGAACACGACTGCTGATTATCACCCACGAGCCTGCAGGTCTTTTACACTTGGCGCTGAACTAGTTGAACTTTCAAAAAGGCTATTCAGACTATCCTCAACGCTACCCCCGCTATGGAAAACCCTGAACAGCTGGCGCAGTTGCGCGTCCTGCAACGCCAGTACTTCCAACTGGTCGAGCCACAACAGCTGAGATGGCCGGACGATGCAACCTTGAAGAGGCCCCTGGTGCAGGCATGGCTGTTCGGCAACTTGTTCGATCCATCCAAGATTTCCTCGCCACCACCGGCTCGCTACCAGCTTAGGGTTCTGAAGGAGCTTGTCGGGAAACTCGAGCGGTCCATGACAGACCCTGAGGAGGATGTATGGTCTCCTATCTCTTCATTGCGGTTCCTGCCTTTACTGTGTACAGCCATGTACCATAGCAAAAGATATTTCATGTACAGGAATCAACCTGTTGCAGCATCCGCTGACTTGCCCCTCCTACCTTGTTATAGGAAATCTCAGATGATATCATGGAGGGAATGACAACTTTACTTGTGGCCAGCTTACCTTCTGAAACGGATGCCGCTCAGCAGAAAGCCTTTGTGACGTACTCGTTCCCCCAACAGTCGACTGACGACAGCGATTCCGGTGAGCGTGCCGTGACGCTATTGGAGGCCCGTTCCGTCATTTCTTCGTCTGGAACGACGGGTCTGCGAACATGGGAAGCCGCTTTACTGCTCGGATCCTACCTTGCATCCGAGTCTGGCCACGTGTTCATCAATCAGAAACGGGTGTTTGAACTTGGTGCGGGGACGGGTATGCTATCCATACTGTGTGCGAAGCACCTGGATGTGGCTGGTATCGTGTCCACGGACGGCGATGAGGCGGTGGTGGATGCGATCAAGACCAATCTCTTTCTGAACGGACTCGATGTCGATGACGATTCTAGCTGTCAAGTGCGTACAGCAGCACTCAAGTGGGGCTATCCAGTCGACGCAACAACATTTTCAGAAGACTACGGAATGGAGGTTCCAGACGTGGTGATAGGAGCAGACGTGGTAAGCTACCATGACGACGGTGTCGCGGAGAAGTGGGTTTGACAGCGCTGCAGACCTATGACAAGTCCGTCATCCCACGCTTGGTTTCGACGTTGAGAGAATTCTTCGACCTGAACCCGGCGCTCCTAGTTTTTATTTCTGCGACCATCCGCAACGAGCAGACGTTCGAGACTTTCTTGAAAGCGTGTGGTGGGTCTCCCTGCGTGGTATTATGCGGTCGGGGTTACGACATTGGGTACGATGTTTGCTGACTTTTGTGGGGTAGAGCGGAACAGGTTCAGTTTCGAACGGATTGAGTGGCGGCTGGTGCCTGAGCATATCCAGGAAGGCCCGTTTTATCCAACATCAACGCCGATCCAGATCTGGAGAATTGCAAGCGGCCAGAGCACAAATAACCTGTTTGCTGTATGATATGACATGGATTGCAAAGGGAAAAAGTCTTGCCCGTCACATGCGCGGTGCGTACGAATTGAAGTGCGCGTACGGTGTTAATATTGTGGATTATCGGCAGCGGCAAGGTTTCAGGATCGGGAGAGGACAGAAATTTTGATGATTCACTATGTCTGGGACGGCGGATAGGCGAGTAGTCTGTGGTTGTCGGGCCTTTGCTGCGCGGCCGCTAAGGGAGGTAGCTACTATACGCGAGGAGTAGAAAACAAAATAGGACCCGCATCTTTGCTATGCACAGTCAGAGGGCCGGTCAAACGCAACGGGCTGGCAGCGCGGTATGGGCAAGGCAAAAGAGGGAGGTGTGGCAGCCTAGTCATCCGGCGATAGGTGCACTTGGAGGTGCATACATGGGTGGTTGCGGATAAGCAAACAAGCGAAGGGTGCGGCGATGGGTGGAGGGGGTGCCGCAAAGCACCGGATTACCCCATTGGGCCGACATGGCGAACATTCGCAATATGGCTTCATTGTGTTGAGCAGGCACGTAATATGGACAGCACGCTGGAATTGGGCATGTTGTAGTAGCACCGATAGGCAGGCGCTCGCAGACGGTGGGATGGTGTGAACGAGTACCCAAGTAAGGGGAGCGGCGCTACCAGAGGCAGGCCATGGCGGCGCAGCGTGGACCTTGATGGGCGTTGGTTTGCGTGTGCGTGTGCGTGTGGCTCGGAGCGCCATTTGCTGGACGAGTGTGCAGCGCAGTGCAGGGCAGCGCAGGGCGTGATGGCTACGGGCGCAGGATTGGCCACTACGACGATTCTATTCACACCGGACGAGACGGAGCCTGAGTCTGAGGCAGCGTGGTGTGGATGCGGGTGGGGGGTTGCAGGCGGGCGGGGAGTCAGCGCCCAGACGGCGGCGGCATTGCGTGCTGGAATGCTATCACGGCAACGGGTCTGTCGTGATGGCTATCACGAATCGTTCCCCACATACCCAAGCAGCCGTATCCCGACGGTGCAGCTAGGGCCGTTGTCGTCGTCAATCGCAGCGTTCTAGAACTGGGCGTGGGTTTTGCACAGGCCGGCCTCGTAATTACTTATTGACCGCGTCGTCCCCCTCCTGCTCTGGTGGCCGTCGTTATCATTTGTGTTATCAGCTCGCGGGACCGTTGCTTGTTCCACTGCCGCTGAAAGCCGCTGGTCTCGAGGAAATACTCGGCTCTGTCTCTCCCATCGTTCCCCCCAACGCCCGCCAGCCCACTCAGCCCCAGCCTACCCAGCGTTCCACCCTCCCACTCCCGTCGGCAGCCCTGTCCGCAGATCGCATCCGGACCGGAGACAAGTCCTTGAGTGTAAGTACATACAGATACTACTATCCACGTACATAAGTCATTGCTTGTTTGTTTTTTTTGGGCATGACGCAGCTGCCCATTCTTGTCCTCGTCACCTCCCATACACCATACACCACATACACCCTGCTGCCCTGCTGCCCGATGACGGCGGCTCTGCGCGCCAATTCGTATTAGATAGCAAGTCCTAATATCGTTGTTCCTGGCTAAGTCGATGGCGCAGTGCACAAGGCGATAAGGGGTTCTAAACAAAGCCACGCACGAACCTTCCGTCATATCAGCCAGCTGGGAACTGGGCGGCCGGTGTCACCGCTTCTTTCGCTTGGTCGTCTTCAGCCTGCAAAAATATCGCGCACCGTGCGCGATTATCAACTCGCTGGCATTTAGCCCTTTTAAACTTCTTCCGCCTCCACCATGGCCACGCATCACGTTCGTCACCTGTCCCATCAATCCAAGAAGTCGCAGCCGCCGCACGCACGGCCCTCTCGGCCTCTGTCAAAGCGCGTGCAATCCCACGCGACCAAGGCTGCTTCCAAAGTCGCTCCCTCCAAAGACGCCGACCTCGCCGTCGACGACGACGACGAAGACTCAATGGCAGTGAGCTTCTTGAACTACTGGTATGTCCTCCACTTACCCCTACTCCATTCTTGATTGCCCACAATATACTAACCCTCTCATGCAGCACTGTTTGCGAGAAGCAAATTGTTGTTCCAAGCAACACCGTGCTCTACTGCTCAGAAAGGTATGATGATGACACCCTCGTCCTGACAGCCCCATCGCGCACAGACCACCTTTGCTAACCTGTATACACAGCTGCAAGAAAAAAGACGCGGAGAAGAGCCTCAACTACTACTACGATCATTACTCACCGCCAACCACTCCTTTCGCAAACTTCACCTTTGACGACCTTGCCTTCCGTGACATTGTTCCCCAGCGCTCCCCCACCCAGCCCGACTCAAAACGCTCGTCATGTGCCTTCTCCGATGTATCATCGGATGACAACACCGATGACCGGTATCAGTCCGACGCATCAAAATACTTGCGCAAGTTTCAATCGGCACCCACTTATGCACCTGATAACATGCGAGCCTATCGACCCCGCTACAACCGTGCATCAACATCACAGTACAGCACTAGCGCTGCCCCTTCGCTGTCACATACTCCGGCTTCTTCAGTAAGCTACTCGCTGCCATATACCCCAGCTACCACGCGCCCTCTTCCTCCTAGGACCAAGCCGTCCCGCAACGGATCATATGGAGGAGGAAAGTCGATCGATCTTGTCACACCTGTGACTGCTCCTTCAAGTCCCAAGTCGTACTCGCACAAGTCACCCGCCGTATCCAGGACTTCGGTCAGCACCATCGAAGGCGAGATTGTCTACGCAAAGTCACCCGTTCCCGAACCCTCAGTTGCCAGCGGTAGTCTTGGTCGATTACTCGCCTCATCACCTCGTCACGTCTAGACAAAACAAACATTCATTTCTTTTCCCATGTTTTCCCTTTTTTTTTTAACATGGGCTTTTTGCTCCTCTGTTTTCTAATAGATACCATGACCGTAAGGTCTTCGATCTGCTATGCAGGCCGTAGCTGTTTGAGATTGATGGAAACGCAAACACCCATGAATCTCTCTCACTCCTCAAAAGTTCTACCAGCAATATACCAAGAATTGTTTTTTTCCCATCCTTCTTTTTTGGGGTTGTTTCTGGTTTTCGCCATAGATACCTACTTTTGTTTGCTACTACTTAGAAAGAGGGGGAAGGGTTTAGTGATTATGATGACTTAGGGAAAGAAGAGACCGGCCGAGTAACCTTGGAATAGGCTTGTGACCCAAATAACATCACTATATACGTCACACACACACCACTTTTTGGTTCCTTTACAACCTCTCGATCTCTGTCTCCCCCTCCCCTTTTTAGGTCTTCGCCTTTGCCACATGTAATGACGTTAGATGACGCCCTCTTCTGCCACGTACATGGCCAGACGACATGGTAGTGTAAGAACAAAAAGGAAGGATCTTCCTTGTCCCGATCTTCTTCTCCTTCTTCTTCTTTTTTTTTTCTCCGCCTTTTCTAGACCCCAGATGTATGCAACTCTTTTGCTCCACCGATATCATTGGGTTTGACGTTTCGATTCCAAACGGTTTAAACGCTATTCTAGGTATATAATCTACCCAGGGAAGTAGAAGCATGGATCTAATGGCGCATTGCGTACCAGATTTCCACTGGGAGGGGGGTTTTTTTTTTGCCCTTGCCCTTGCCCTGCCCTCTCTCTCTCTCTCTCTATCTCTCTCCTTTTCGATTGCAGATGTTAGTACAATGCAACTAAGTAGCTAGCTATAGCACTAGTACTTTCAGCCTTAGTCCCCCTAACCCGCCCCCCGCCCCCCTTTAGGGTTATCGCATTCCTTATCTTCTCTGGAACGTTCTCGCCTTACGCGATTCACGTTGGTTTCTATAGTGCTAGTGCGGCCATGCAGGAGGATTAGGCATGCGTGTTATATTGGGGTAAAGATAACGGGGAACGCAAAAGGGGAACGGAATGCGCTACTAGTTGATGTGTGACTTTACGCTAGTAACTATCTATACTACATAAGTCAGATCTCATAAAAACACATTTTTAGTAGTAGGTTTGTATGGACCGTGGTCATGTTTGCACCGCAATATTGATGGTGATGTAAGAGGTAGAGGATATAGCTCCGATTGAATACTAGCACAACAACAACAAAAAACTTGTAATCTATACGTTAGTTAAGTGTCTTGGTAAGACGCGAAATGAGATTAAACAAAGTACCAAAGAGAGAGATACACGCTTGATAAACTACACACATTCACACATATGTGAATACTGAACCCTTTGCTTTTATCATAGAAAACGGCTCATTCCGCACATGCAGCAATCACACGTTGGACAACGCACATGCTACGTTATCAATGCGGAGAGCAAAAACGACCCAGGGATCAGGGGTGGGGGTGTATGATCTGGTCATGCAGGCGCGACATTTTTTCTTCTTTTCCAAATGAAACAATGCATCGATTTTTTTTTTGCTTGTTCGACAAATTAAGCATTACTCGGCTCGGGCTTGGTGAAAGCTTCGTAGCTGCGTGATGCTCTCTTTGTACCCAATCGAGATGGGGCGGTCTGGTTTGTTCTTCGGTATGCGTTGTTTCTTGGGGTGTGGGTTTAGTTGCTTTTTTGGCTGCTACGTCAACGGTGTGGTTTACTTTTTTTTCTCGTATTTTCTTTTCTTTCCTCTTGCTGCGGTGGGTTGTTGGCTGAGACTAGAAAAATTTTGCGTTGTTTTGTTTTGATTTGTGGATGTAGAGATGCAGTCCCTGTTTTTTGGGGGTTATCTGATAGTGATACGTGTCTGCTGTTCTTTTTTTTTCGTTTTTGCCTCCTGTAGTAGTTTGGTGGTTGGGTTGGATACCCTTGCCATCGCTTTCAGAGAATGGAGAGATTCAATGACCGGTTTAGTTCTAATAGCTATTGCTATTCATGTTCTTTCTTGTTTTTTCTTTCGTATAACCATATTTCAATTGCTATGAGGTTTGCTCTCAGGAACTCCTATCTTAGTCACTCTTTCGACTTAGATGCGAAATATAAAGGTGCTCCTACGATCCATCTCCTCATTCTCAACTCCAAGACCGACTTGATTGTAGCTTTCATGTTAGTCAGATTCATATCACATTGCAAACTGAACCAGCCATTTCGTGAGTAATTATATTACTATTTCAATTATGGTACCAAGGAGTGTGTATATACAGTAAACGCCATCGTATGCTGTATGAAGCAAGCGCTATGCCAAGTATTCAAAGCCAATATAAACATTATCGCATATTCGTCGCCGTCATCTCTCCATCTTGTCTATTCTTTTTGTGTAATGGTGCACAACGCTCATGATTTAAAGACCGCAGTTGCTGACAGCGACCTGCTGGTACTGAGCGTCGATGCGGCCGAGGGCAGCAGCCTGGCCGTTGGTGAGCTGGTTCATGGCAGCCTGGGCAATGTTGAAGCCGGCGCCAGTATGGTCCATGGCAAGGACGTAGATGGTCTTGCCGTTGTAGGTGAGACCGTAGCAGGTACCGCACTGAGGGCTGTTCCAGCCAGCAATGCCTTGGTAACCACCGATGAGAGGGAAGCGAGGAAGGCTGCCCTGGGTGGGGAAGCGAGCGGCCAGACCGTTGGCTCCGTCAGAGCAGGAGACAACGTTCATGGAGCGGCCGGCATCATCGTAACCGGGGTCGTAGCTGACTGTGAGGAGTTAGTATTCAAGTTTCCATAGTGCTCTGTAAGAGTACTACTGACCAGTGATGGCGGAAGCCATGCTGGAGAAGCCGAGAACGGCGGCGGAGACGGCGGAGAAGAACTTCATGGTGATGGTTTTGGGTGGTTTGGTGATTAGATTAAGGTGGAGAGTTGAAGAGTGGTTATTAGATGTTGTAGTGGTGATGGAAGCTGAGTGCTGGTGATGATACTCTGGACGAGTGACTTGCATGTCCTTTATAGCAATTGACTTGACGATGCCTCCACTCTACCACTGCATAGCTTTCCGCTCCTCCCCGTTACACGACTAGTGAATTCCCGTTACATTGCCAGTTGGGCACGGGCGGTGCAGGGCGGAATGCGAGCAAACTGCCAGGTCTAGCCTACCTTGCCCACTATACTAACTGCAAGAGTACGACCATCTGACCATGGAGTGGCGGGATTTCTAGGAAAATAGATGAATGAGATCATAGCGTACAATGGACACGAGAGGTGCTGCGGAGAAAGGTGATATTTTTGGATGACCCGCAACGGGAAGGGCTTGCGCTAGCTGAGATGAGCAGGACAAGCGAGCTAGACAGCCAAAGTTATCGGATTGATGCATTGTGTCTTGCCGCAACAGGCATTCGTTGGCAGCGATCAATAAAATGATCCTGCACCCCACCTGCGCTCGTGGCGCATTCAAGACTGCCTCCTAGATGCGATCCAATGTCATCGCGCAAAAAGGGGACTTCTTCGGCTCTTGACAAGCGGCGAGAGGCGACTGTAAGACGGAATACGGGGACAAATACTACATCTCATGGCTATGCGACCAATGCTTACTACTACTACTAGCGCTGGTAACGTGGTACTGCTGTGTGGTGAGGTAAATGGTTGAAAGGCTATTGTTGGGTGGTGGACTGACTGACTTGTCGTGGCCAAGCCTATAGCTGCTAGCAACGGCACCCTTGAAAGACCTTCTCCATCCTCACCGCCGAAAACTAACTGAGTAACCCTCTGGATCGCACGGATGGGCACACGCCCTGTGTGCAGCCTCGTCTTCAGAAGTCGGTGGAAGATTCTCCTCTTCGTGATGGTGGATCCTTGTACTATACGGCTTCCTCGTATTACCCTCTCATTCCCCTCGGTTTCCGTCATGGTGCAGTGCAGCCAGAACCCCGACTTGTGACCTTTTTCTGCTACCGACAAACAATGTGAGCACATGGTCCGACAACACGTGGAGTCTTGCCATTCGACATGTTCGGCCGATGTCAGCTGTTGTCGTGGTAGGAGGAGCCCGGACGAGAAGTTCTGCCTTCTGTCGCATGTTCCGCAATTCCCACGGACTTCCTACGTCTGGAGCAACGACTGTCAGTTATCACTCGCGATGGCCTGGTAGTTATGTACTTGGGCATGTAATGCCATGTCCGCTCTGGACACGGCGACGTTTAACATGAGCCGTTGTCATGCCCGTCGAATTGCATGTCATCCAGGTGGCAGCCGTTTGCGTGTCCGTGCGCAGGTATCCAAAACATCTTCTGTTCCATCATGGTTCACGGCCAGGTTTCATCCCTTGGTCAGAAACATGACTGCCGCGAAAAGCAGCGCTTACGCCTCTCTACTTGCAGTACCCGTAGCCCTCAAACTGCCACAGCCACACGGCCACGCGCCCAAAAGGCATTTCCGGGCGACGAGTGGCTGAATTGAAGCGCCGAAGGGGCCAGTAGCCATGCCCTGCGTCCACCCCTATGTTTCCCCGGAATCGTGTTTAGATGGCTAAGGCGCTAAGAAAAGGATGCCTTTGTGACGCCTGGGGTTTCGAAGGCTTCATGCCCTTGACTGCGCAGGCCGACTTTCCCGCTTCGTGGGCGGCAAGCGTTTCCACCTCCATGCTATATAACCTTCGCAAATGTGCTCATCTCCAGACTTTTCTTGGTAGGCAGGTCCACGTTCTTCACTTCTCAGTACCAATTACATTCCATCTCATATCCCAACCCTTCTCACGCATTATCTTAATCGCCAAAACGAGCTAGTCTCTTTCCATCTCAACCAATCATAATGCATTTCTCCACCATCTTCACTGCTTCCGCCATGGCTGGCGCCGCTCTCGCTGCCGAGCACACTATCGCCGTTGGTGACAAGGCTGGCAACCTGGTCTTCAAGCCCGACAGCATCATGGCTGCTGAGGGTGACACCGTCACCTTCAAGTTCTGGCCCAAGAACCACTCTGTCGCCCAGGCCACCTTTGCCAACCCTTGCCAGCCCATGTCCAACGGCTTCTGGTCCGGATTCGTGCCTACTTCCGATGCCGAGAAGGTTGCCACGACCACTTTCACATACGAGGTTACCAACGCTTCGGCTCCCATCTGGTTCTACTGCACCCAGGGCATGCACTGCCAGAACGGCATGGTCGGTGTCATCAACGCTCCGTAAGTCACAACTGTCAGTGTTTCACAAGTTTCCCATCACTAACATTCTTTAGTCAATCTGGTGCAAAGACACTCGAGGCTTTCAAGACTGCTGCAAAGGCTGCCACTGGCAACGTCTCACCGTCATCCACCGCTGGTACTGGCGGCAACCTGACTGAGAGCGAGAACAGCACATCAACCGAACCATCTGGCTCACCTTCTTCCTCCGCATCCTCATCCGCATCCGCACCGCAATCAACCGGTGCTGCCTCTCACGTTGCTGGCAGTGCCCTGTTCGCTGGTCTGGCTGGTGCCTTTACATTCTTCATGCTCTAAGCGACCGATACAAGAGTGCAAAGCATATTTGATACCCTCATCAGCATATCATAGAACAGCAGACGTCTTTGGGTGCGGCCGGTAATACGCATCATGACAATCAAGAGCCACTGGTGGCTAGGAGTGAAGAGATGAAGAAAGAGAATGGGATTATTTCTTGGTAGTAATTATCTGAGTTTTGAATGAACAAATGTATACTCCATTTATATATGCTTTCCAAATCTTGTGCCGTGACAATGCGACCGTTGACATTTGAGTTTCCGAACTCGACGATCATTTCTCTAGTACGAGAAGGCGCGGACAATCTACAATCTACAGCTTCTGTTAGCAACAGCCCAGAAACTTTGTCAAGACAACATGTATATGTGCGAAGCGGATCAGACATCCAAGGAAGGTATTCGCGCTCATTGACCATCTAAAGTAGGTTCAATCGATGGCTAGCGTGGAAACTGCGAATGTGGAATGGTTTTCATCATGGTGTAGGGGGCAGGGAGTCGGAAGAAAAAAGTAGTAAGACTTACGAAAGCGGCTACAGAGCGCAAAGGTGCTGCTGTCATTAGTTAGTCCGCGTTGAGACGCGAGGAGCGACATGCAGTTTGTTGGGAGAAGATGAAGAAGAGCTGATCTTGTATCGAGCTGGACGAAGCTAAAAACTTTAAAGTGGGCCCGGCACCATGTTTTACCGGGCCCACTTGTCGCCTCTTGGCGATCGGATGCAAGCAATCAAAACGACGGCTACTAATAAACAACATGTTTTGCGTCTTGGTAGTTTATTTATATCATTGTTTTCACTATACAACAACTGAACAAGGCTTGCCAAGATCTCCAACTCAAATAAGCTACGCGGAAGCTAAAGAACTCTTGTTCTCCTCCGGTTGCCCTTGGCAATAGCATCAGCATGTTTCCAAACAGGATCCGATTAGATTGTTGCCTTTGCTATGATAAAGTCATGGGATCCGTCACCTAGATTACAAAAAAACAACTTGGTACTTTTTTATATCATGCTTCGGCGGAAGAGACTCTTGACCGATGACGGGGATGCAATAGTTCTACTATCCTAGGCTACGCTATGGGCATAGTCTCATCGTGGGGTTGCGTTGAAGATTGCATTTGGTCTTCAAGGCTCATCCTAGTAGAGCATAATGTTATGTCTTTTTATAGTCTGATAGGTGCTAAGGCGAGCACTCGCCATGTTCTTATGGACGTGTCAAGTGGTCGTTACATGTTAAATTGACGTCCATGCCTTACTAGTAGGTCCATGCTGATATTCACCATTCGATACTACTACATGTAAATATGTTCATGTCAAATAGCGACTATTAGATAGTATATGAATTTCAGTGTTTTCTAGCCTGGCGCTGGGCATGTGTTAGCGACTTGAGCTGCCAGTGCGTGCAGACCAGAGTTTCACACTAGAGGATGGCAGGTGTAAGTGCGCGTTGGCGACTGAAAAGGTGACATTCGCGTCCAGTGTGCTATGGCTTGTCGGGTAGGTCCACGGGAGAGATTTATGCAGGCCTCATGCTATAAGACCATAACCCGCACATCTCTCGGTGACTGTATGCTGTGAAACAAAAGATGGGTGCTTAATAAGTGCGACAAGTACACTGCTTAGATTACAACATGCTCACAGCTACGTCCAGTGTGCAGATCCGGGATAGTAGAGGAGGTCTATTTGGTGCTGCGAGAACAGCACCGTGTCACGAACTTCAAATCTTACGGATATGTGAAAATACAAGCTTAAGTACCTTTGTAGAGGAATCAATCCATGGCTGCAGGTATGTTGGTGAAGTAACAAAGTTGGTACAACTGCAGCTGGCGAGGTTGAGTCAGTTGCGATCCGTCCCAAGCTGCATCTGATTCGGCCGCAGATGAACCGAAGTGACGCGCAATAAGCAACACCAAGAAATGTGGAGTCGAGCGCGACGGCACATCCAAGGTCAGACGGTAATCCGTCACCCTAATCCCAACATTCTCTTCCATCCCAGACAACTTCTTCTGGTTCCAATCGATCCTGACAACTTTGCCTGAACGTCGGCCTGCCTCGGTGTTTACCCAGCACTGTTGATCGCAACAGCTCGTGCTTATCAGCTTGTGGCTTTCGTTTTGCTACCTTGCCCACGTTCCACTACCTCTCCCAACGTTCGAACCGACTTTCCCTTCGCCATCATGAAGCTTCCTCCGATTGCGACGGCCTGTCTCTCCGCGCTCGTAATAGACTCCTGCAGCAACATCATTGCGCAGCGCCTCAAAGCATGGAACGAATCCAAGCCCTTCGTCTTCGACCGTGTCCTCTTCACACAATTCGCCATCATGGTCGTTCTTACTGCGCCGGTAAACTACCACTGGCAGAACTGGCTTGAACGTGCGTTCCCTGGGTGGAAGACGGTGAAACAGACAAGGACAGTGGGAGACGGCGAGGAGGAAAAGGGCATCATGCTCAAGGAGGATGGAGATGGTCGCGGTATCATTGAAGAGGAGGTCCGGGTGAGGAATTGGTGGAACATCTTTAGAAAATGGTTTACCGATGTAGGTGGTCACAAATGACTCGTCGTAGCGTAGTCGCTACAGAAATGGCTAGGTGCTAACGAGATGCAGTGTATCACCATGGGCGCGTTGCTGAACCAGTCAATGTTCCTTATCTTGATTGGAATCATGAAGGGTAAAACCGTGGCATTGATTGTCCAGGACTTTAGAAATGTAGGTTTATGAAGACGTGAAACCCCACACTGTTGCAGATTACTAACTGCTTACCAGGAGCTTTTCGGCCTCATCTTCGATTCGTACAAAGTCTGGCCAATTGCCAATTTCTTCAGCACCACCTTCATTCCCGTTGAGCGCCGTATCGTCTTCTTGAGTTTCTGTGGTCTACTGTGGAACATCTACCTATCACTGGTAGCGGCGCGGCTCTAGATATTCTCTAATCCGAAATACATCTGCTTTGCTCTGCACCATGCTACGCCATCGATCCTATGCGCTCACTCGCTGATGGCTACAAATTGCATCTGGGCCCCTTCGTCCAAGCTGCTATTACCGCAGCCCAATACTTTTCCGCGTCCTCCCGTATATGCCCACAATGCGCACTATTCTCAAACTGCACTTTCGTCACATCCCACCCCTTGGACTCTGCAATGTCCGCATGCTCATCTGCCTCTTCAAACCCTACCATCGTATCCGCACAACTGTACAGATACACTCTCGGCACGCGATTATCAAATACATTCTCATCATTCAACTCCCGACAGAGGACAACCATCTTGTTCTCCCTGCGCCGAACAAACACGACTATCCACGTCAACAGAATCAAAAGATGTACTAGCGCGCCGCCAAACCACCGCCAAAACAGCGTCTTGGGCAACGAGGCGGAAATCGCAGCATGACTCTTCATCCAGGGACCTTTAGTCGGGCTCGAATCGAGAATCTGCGCGCGCATCGGCATCTTGGTGTCGAATTTTCTTTTCCACGCCTTGGCAAATTCATTGACTTGGTTGCCGCCGCCGTTGGAGAAGCTGTGCACCAGGACTTGGCCGCCGTTGTCGGCGTGCGCGGCTACAACGTCCAGGGCGGGCTTGAGCAGAGGTCCGTAGGCTGTGGACCGGCGGAAAATGTCGAGTGTGTAGCATCGGATGAGGAGGATGCGGGATGTAGGGAACAGCTTTTGGTATGCTATTGTGTATTTGGCGATGTGCTTTCCGGCTGCGGCGTTCCATGCGAAGAGGAGTATGAGCGGGGTTTCTGAGGGTGAGTTGGAGAGGTAGGATTCCGAGGTCCAGATGTAGATGTTGTGGCCGATTTTTTCAAATTCCGAGAGAGGTTTGGATGGCTCCGGGGGAGTTGGGGGAGTTGGAGTTGCCATGGCTATGGATATGTAGTGTTTGTAGTTTTTAGATGGATAAAACAAAAAGTCACATGTGGGGTTTGTGCTGGTCTATTGATGATTTGATGTTTTTTGGCGTGTCTAGTATAGGTGTAATGTGTTTATAGCAGGTTTGAGAAGGACGCCTGGGAGGCCTTTGTCTCGGTGTCTCGCTATCTCGCCATCTTGGCGTGAAGGATCCCAGGCCGAGGTTACGGTACTACTAGAGTACTAGTAGCAACACCATTGGTCCATCTACCTTGCTGCTCGCATCTCACACTGTATGATTCCTCTCACGTGCCCCAAATCGACCTCTTGATTGTCTGTTGCTCGACTCCAGCAACCGCTCACAACTGATGGCTTTTTAGGCACCAGTGTTATTTCTACCCATGAACCAGGTGAGCCCAGAGCTGACCACCGCACCTGCCTGTGCAGCCCCAGCAGCGAGACCAGCGCCATACCCTCCCATGGCAGCACTCTGTGCCAGAGCATACACGCCGCCTGCCGGGACATAACCGAAGTAGCTCATTGTAGATGCGGCAAGGGAACCTGTTGTCTATTAGTATATAGTAGTATGAGTACGAGTTCGGGCCGACGTACCACCGGCAGGTCCTAGAGCAGTCAACCCAAACGCAGCGAAGATGGGTGCAGTGGCGGCAGCAGGCGCAAGAAGAACAACGCCGTTGACTGTGTAGAGAACTGTTTGGCCCGGGTGTGCTGCTACCCAGTCGATGAGAGGCTGCGCCGTAGCTGCAACGGAAGCGGCTGTCACGTTTACCATGACGAAGTTAGATATCGGAAACTGTTTCAAGTGGTGGAAGGTAGTAAGAGCTGCGTTAGTGATTACAACCAAGAACGCGGAGAATACCAGTTCTTATCTAACAGGTTGATATTCAACACAAGGCTGAGGCTAGCCTTTCAGCGCTGGTGAGGGGTGAATGCGTGACGCTGCATTTGGTTGGCTGCAAGCATGACGCCACATTTGTTCAGCCTTGCCAGCGCAAAGACGATTCCAGCATACTCCAGTTCTCTAGCATAGTACATGACGTTGTGCTTAGCGGCGGCCTCTACGCCACGCCGCTACTGATAAGAGGATAGCTCCAGCTCGTACTGCAATATCAACACTACTCACACTCTTGCCGACCATTGCCCCGCTTTGAAGCGTGGAATACATATTTTGTGTAGAGGATTTGTCTTTGATTCGCATCCATGCTGAAGCTGTTGAGTCTGAGTTCTGTCAGTAAGAATACGTGAAGTCGATACAAGTGTGCTAGACCTCTGCGAGGCCCTCTTTGCTCGAAGCCTAATGCCCAGAGGGTGGGTACGGTGAATATCCTTGGTTCGAGCAAGATGGCGCCATTTGCGGCGTGTACTATCGTTTGGTAAGGATGTGCGCAGATTAGGTTAAGCAGTGTATTGGTTGGTGACATGGTTGTAGGTCCGTAAGGAAACGACTTGTGAATGAATAAGATTTATTGTCGATGACGAAAATAACGCCTTTTGTTACTCAAAACTTTGTAGGCGAAAAGAAAAATAGAGAGTATTGAAAGAAGTAAAGGTTAGAAGTTGAAGGTTTGGAGGGCGGGCGGTTAACTGCGCAGGCTGATGCGGCACGGTTGCATGGGCATATAGTCCTCTGACTATCAATCATCTGAGCCAAGGCTTTTCGGTTTGATGCGAGGCGGATTCAAGGCGCATAATGCTTCCTAATATATCGTTTTCTGTATCGCCATAATCCTTCCAATATTTGGGGACAAGGCAGCGACATTTCAATCCAGTAGACGATGGCTCAAGATCAGTCCGGCATGGGATACAATTATGATGACAGAGTCAATTACATCTTTCTGTTAATATAATAAGAGTACGAAAATCTGCTGTTGCAGCTCTGAGTAAAGGAAAAATACAACTACCCAATATCATTTCCTTCCCGATTTTCCTCCATAACTCCGATCTTCTTCGTTCCTCTCCATATCCCCAGCACTCTTGTCTCCTATATCTAGAAAGAACATGCCATTCTTGTTGCCTCCATATGATTATCTCATCTACTTGTTTATTCTGTCACTTTCATGAAAGTTTACGAGATACAGGATATGTCGACAAGGAGCCTGTCCGTGCAATGAAAAACAGTGCAATTGTCATGCAAATCCATAAACGGGTTTTGTTTGGGAAGAAAAATTGAGATACTAGCTATCCTTTTGACAAAGCTTTCCTTTGAACCATTCTAACAAGAGTCAAAATGCTGTATACATGATCTAGTATGTGGCATGATAGATGCTACGCATCCAAATCTCATATCACCATTAACAACCAAATACCAGGCTCGTATGGACAAGCCTGACTTGCCAATCAACATGTCAATTCTGACCAGCATCACATGCAGGAAAGTAAGAAGACAAGGTACGAAGTATTTAGGTATTGTTTACTATAATTATGTAAGAATGGCCCTTAGAGGATCAAAGGGTCTCGTGTAGGGTCCTGCCACAACCGCCGTTTTCTTCTATGCCAGATCCTGTTCGTTTGCATCGTTATTGACTGCCGTCTGGATTTTACTGCCGCCGCTGGCGGAACGTCTGGAACTTTGGGAACAGAAGACACTCCATCGCCGCCTTTCCTGCTCAACTTGAGCGATAGTAATATGAATACGCCCGCAATGAGGATGGCAAGCAGCAGCATGATCTTGCGCTTTACACTTCGTCTCTGGTACCCAGAAGCTACTTTGAGCTCCTTATCCGCCTCTTTGACATCTCTGAACATGTTCTCAACGTTGTAGTCTATTCGGTCCAGCATACTGCCTTGGTCAATGACCATGGTCTGGAGCTCTTGGAAGATATTTGCCAGCTCGATGATGCCTTGAGCAATGTCCTCAATCTCCCGCTCCCGCTGAGCTATCAAAGCTTCGTTCGGGTCGTGGCGCATGCGCTGTTGCTTCGTTTGGAGTAGTGTGGATTGAGAAAAGGAACGGTCGGCATCGGATTCTTGTAGCGCAGGGTCATTGTAGGGATTCTGTACCGGCGTGGCAGAGCGGAAGGGCGAAGTGAAGCCTCCGAGGTCGCGGAGTTCTAGGGAAAGACATTAGCATGACATGTAGCATAGGACAAAGGAACAGTCTCACTCTTCAGATAGGCAGCCTGCTTCTTGCGAAACATGGCGCTCACTTCGCCGACACGAGAGGCAAGCGAGATCTTGAGGTTCCGGGCCATGACCTCTTCACCCTGGTTGATGCTGCCCTGCTGCTTGGCCTCGCGGACCATGATGTCTATGCGCTTGATAGCCTGCTGGCATTTCTGGAAGAGGCGGGTGATGGCCTGGGTGATTTGCTCAATCTCGCGCTCCTCGCGCTTCTTGATATCCTCATCATCAAAGCCGGGAAGCACGTGCTTCTGGTGCAGCTGGTCGAGCTTGCGCGTCTGCTTTGCTATTTCTGCCAGGTGCTGGGTGACCTCGTCCTGCATGTCAAGCCAGCGCGGCGGCAGTAGATCCATCTCTATAACGGCATCGCCGTCGTCCTCGAAGGCTGGGATGAGGCCCTGGCGCTCCTCGGACATGCGCCTGCTGTCGCCAAAGCCATTGGAGCCGGGGGCACCATAGCGTGTCTTCTTCTTCTGGGGGTGGTGCGAGTACGACTGGCGGTACGAAATAAAGCTAGGTGGCTACGTCAGCAGCAGCGAGGCAGCGTGGCTTTGGCGACATACAGGTTGGTCCGGTCCCGCCACATGATGGGCTGGCGAGGGTCAACGGGGCTGTGTCATGGTAGAGCTCTAGGCGGGCTATGTATAGCGGGAGTGTAGGTACTTATGCAGTCGGGACGTATGGACGTATGGCGGCCAGGGCAGCTGTGGGCGAGGGTGGACGGGCGTCTGATGTGAGGCGCATGCAATCGTGGCCGTGTGTCTGGGCAGTGGTTGTGCAACGGGGGCGCTTTGCCTGAAACGGCAGCGAGTGGCCCCTTCCCAACAGCGAGGCGGCACTAGGCCGGTTGGCTGACAGTCCAGCTCCACTTCAGCCCATCTTCTCCAGCCGCAAACACGCCTAGAGACCTCCTTCACACCGCACCTGCGCCCTCTGTTATATATCGCCAGTTGGCTCCCATCCAGGCACCCCCTTAATTGAGTTCCTGACCACCACCACCCCATCTTCCCACCTCCACCACCCGCACCCCTCCTAGCAGCCATGGTCTGTAGCCCCGCGCTTCCTCGCTTTCTGCCAAAACATACCCCGCCCTCCTATACACAACTGCGGCCCCCCACCCACGCCCCCATCGCGCATCGCTGACACAACACTCCAGGCCGATTCTCTTACTGAGGAGCAAGTCTCCGAGTTCAAGGAGGCGTTCTCCCTCTTCGTAAGTCTCTACCCCTCTTCTCGTCGTTGACGCGCGGCTGCCTAGCACCCCGTCCATGGCTTCTTGGACATGTTGCTAACATGTGTTTTCCTGTGCAGGACAAAGATGGCGATGGTCAGTGCCCCCTGTGTCCAATTCACGCTCGCATGCTTTGCGCCGAAGCCACTACCCCCCGATACAAACAGGACACGAGGCTGACCACGTTGCGCCACAGGCCAAATCACCACCAAGGAGCTCGGCACCGTCATGCGCTCGCTCGGCCAGAACCCCAGCGAGTCTGAGCTTCAGGACATGATCAACGAGGTTGATGCTGACAACAATGGCACCATTGACTTCCCAGGTATGTCGGCCTGCCGACTTTAGGCCCATTAAGGCTTCGCTGACGTGATGCCAGAATTCCTCACCATGATGGCCCGCAAGATGAAGGACACCGACTCCGAGGAGGAGATCCGGGAAGCCTTTAAGGTCTTTGACCGCGACAACAACGGCTTCATCTCCGCTGCTGAACTGCGCCACGTCATGACCTCCATTGGCGAGAAGTTGACCGATGACGAGGTTGACGAGATGATCCGGGAGGCTGATCAGGACGGTGACGGCCGTATCGACTGTATGTGTTTGAGAATTTATGCTTGGTTATTTACCAGACTGACACGAGACAGACAACGAGTTCGTCCAGCTGATGATGCAGAAATAAGCATTTGAAATAGCGGGGTTTGAACGAATACATGCATCATGACAGTGAGACGGCCGAGGGTTGACAGCGATGAGCCAAGGGTCAAACTGGGCTTTTTCGTGTCTTTGTACGGTGGATCCAGTTGTTAGCAAGGCGAGCTGGTTTGGTTGTGTTGCCAGCATCTCTGAGAGACGGCTCAAATACCTAACCTACTTACTCAATTCATTCTCACGTGCCTTTTTTTGTGTTGATTCTGTCTAGAAAAAGTGGGTAACCTCGCACAGGGCAAGGCTCTTTCTAGTAAAAAAAGATGGCTTAGCCACAGTTTGCTGCAGGGCCCTTGATGAGGCGGTGCAGCAGGTGTGAGCTTGGACTCTTCTTGGCCATGTGTGGGTCAGGTCAGCTCAGGACACCAAGACAAGACAAGACAAGACTGAACGGGACTGCACGGGGTCCTTCTGAACGGGGAAGTCTGACTCCCCTTCCCAAAAAGACCAAGGAAAGCCCTGTGCTCATTTTTTTAATGGACCTTTTTCTCGTATTGGCATGCTGACTTGCTATTTATGGGGCTAGTAAACGGTATATTGCGATCTTCTCTCTCTCTCTCTCTCTCTCTCTCCCGGTGTGATTGCGACTCGCACGACGAACAAAAAAAAAGGGACAAAGCTCTCACCACGATCATGTCTTTGTTGGATTTTCTTTGGGTTTGTTTGCGGTAAAAGATGGACGTGTTGTCCGAGTGTTATTTATTGTATGTACATCAGGGCAGGGGGGGAGGGAAGGGGTGAACGGAAGGAAGGGGGAAGGAGAGTTCCGGGTTCCTTGATACACAGAAGAAAAATTGTTGATTGCTGGAGGTAATGTGTGGAGTCTTTTCCTTTCAGCTTTTTTTTCCAAAGAGACGTACGTTTTTCTAAGCGTTGCATCTGAGTAATGTATGTTACTTTGTGTGTGTGTGTGTGTGTGTGTGTGTGTATATCGTGTGCAAATGTAGATCAAAAACTTAATTTGCTCTTTTCTTCTTTTCTTTTCTTTTTGCTTACAAGTACATACCCGGCTTACTTGACACTTCCGCATTTGGAAAGAGAAAAGATAGAAACTTCCGAACCGCGCAAATCCTCATCTAAAACTACAGAAAAAAGAAAAGCTTTGCCTCAAGTATGTAAGCAGAGTTGTACGGCGGGTTGTTTTGGGCTGGCAAAGGTTACCTCGCCGTTTGGGCTCCCGTTTTCCCGTTTTTGCCCAGATGGGTTGATAGACATGAATAAACACGAGGTTGAGGTCAGGGGGCCTTTGCAAATCACGAGTGGTGGTGCGGACGACGTTGGGTCCCCCGATTTTCCTCCGAGAAACTTAGCGAATGAGGGTTATATGTGACGTTTTGTTAATCATTCCTCGGGAATGTGATTTGTCCTTCTTTTTCTTGTCTCTTGTTTTGGAGAGAGAGAAGGATCGGTGATAAAATTACCTCACCCAATATCACGGCAGAAAGCCGTGGTTTCAAGATTATCGTCTGTGCCCCCGCCCCCCTCATAGTGTGTGTGGGAACGCATGTTCGAGGTTGTCTGGCATCCCTTGAATAGTAAATCTCAGTTACCATACTATATAGCAGAAAATTCAAATAAGATAAAAGTCTAGATTTTATTCATCTATTTCTTCTCCACTTGTCTCGGTAGGACCATTTTTTCATCTTTCCCTTTCTTGCATCCACTAACAATCTAGTGCCCAAAGACCAACCCCCCCCACATATGTAACGAAGTGGAAACAACGGGGAGAAAACCCGCACGTATTAGCATCGCATTATTACGCTTTTTCTCTCTCTCTCTTAAATCACGGCACTACTACTTAGTTTCCCTTTTGTGTTACAACACGTGCACACGAAGTACGTACGTGCTCCCCCTAACCCCCTTAATAACCTAGTCTCGCTACATCTTCCCCTGCGTAAGGATACAAACGTAGCCAAGAAAATGGGAAAGACAGAAAGAGAGGGAAAAAAAGTCGATGTTCGTCCGTGCTAACGAGCATCATCATCACCGCCCGGATACCCTTTTTAGGATACGATCGTACAATGACTCGTCATTGTAGGTCAAGTGCGGTAGTAGTTATAGTACAAGGGTCATCGTATATGGACATGGTGGTTGTTGGAGTGCCTCCGTAACCCCCCACACATAGCCCCCCCCAACTCCGACTCCGACTGCACCCCCACTGGTTGGCATCGTCGTCGTGGATGGTGCGGATGAAGCCGGTATGAGATGACGCGGCGGTCGAGGGCCACGGGGTTTCCTTGTTGACTTTGCTTGGTTCTCTGGTATAGTGTTGCGGATGACGGCATCCGCGTGTGCGCTCTCCCCTGGGGGTATGGGCTTAAATAAGTGTAGAGACATGCGCATCTTGCACTTGATTGGTATCAAAATGTGAAGATGCGAACTAGCTGATACCGGGGAAGACGGGTAGATCGGGCAGTTACGGCGTTACTCTCTCTTTTTCTTTTCTTCCACTATCGCGGGTTTTGCTCTTGCGCGGATGTCGGATGTCAGACGGGGAAGGGCAGGGAAGAGGAGGGTTAGTGCAGCTTCGTGTTACTTTACATATTCGGAGGATCGACGATCCCGATGGCTATGTTTCTTGTATGCAGTGTGATATCGGGGAATTATGCTTCGTTATTCTGCGGAGAGACTTGTTTGGTGGCGATCAGGGTTATTGAGTCGCGGTGTTTGATGTTGGGAAGGATGCGGGAGGATTTGTGCCGAGAGGATTTGTAAACTTGATGTTCATACAAAGGCTATATTTTTGCGTCGAATATTGTGCCTGTTAATGTGCGTTTTATACCATTACTACTTGTATTAACGTGTAGCATGACTTGGTGCTTCCGCTGTCACGATCCCGATCGTGACCAACGTGGTTCCCAGGACTCCCTGGCTATTCTTGAGGGAGCTGGTTCATACTGAGACTGAGAAACTGGTATCAGCGAGAGGGAGATGGGAGGGATACGTTAAGTGCGCCGAGGACATATACCTTTACAAGGTACATGACAAATGACAGCTGTTGCAAGGATGTAGCTGAGACAAGCCAAAACCCAACAAATGGGATTGTATATTCAGTTTCCTAGACTATATGTCAGCGTCACTGTCCACGCGTTGCAAGCCTATTGTGACTTTTCTTTTCTTGTGTGTGCGGGGAAGAGGAAAACCCTTGCTGGGCTGGGAACTGGTGATTAATGCAACAGGGTCAGGGCAGACAAACCTAGATTTGCAAGAGATGTTCTTGACAGCTGCGATGAAAAGAAACGTGAAGAATAAAATTAGAATGGCATAGTTTGGCTTGCATCAAGAGTACAGGGCAACAACAACCCGATACAAATGAAGGAAGGTGATACCCGGCTAAAATAGGAGAAATGTTAGGCAAAGTCAAAACTTACGTCATCGGGGAGTTTTTGTAGCATTTCCATATTGTTATCGTTATTGTTGTCTTTTTTTTTGCTCCCCAGAAAGTTTCTCCCACCAGTATGCGATGAAGGAGAGGTAGCGTGGTATTAATAGCCGAGTGGCTGTCTCACTAGGTACAGCCCTGCAATAGTGCCACACGTAAGGTCAGCCTTATTCCATTAATACACGTTGGCAACGGCTATCCAGACGGAGCTAAGGTGGCTGTAAGGAGCACTGGTCAGATTCAAGGCGACAGAGAATTATGCGTTGACGAGATGAAAAGGACGCGGTGGCTGAGGGGACCATGATCCATGTGTTTCGCATTGCAGGCAAACATGGGGCCTCTCTGGGCTATCTAGTCTAGACTATTGCTATGTATCAAGGTTCTCTTTAGTGTAATCTGAAAGTGATGCAATGCCATAGATTGACAGGTCGGATCTACAATCGATCCAAATGCAAAGGTCGTCTTTGAGGATCGGGACTTATCTTGAACAGCTGACTCGGTTAGCGAGAAGTGTTAGATCTAAGTGAGTGCGATGGCTTGCACTGTTATCGCATCGTCATACAGTAGATCGACATTAGCTAAGCTTTGGGCGATGGTCAACCGTACGTAGTCGATAAACAAAGAACGTTACATGGAGTGCGTGCGCATTAAGTTTGGTCAGCAAGAATATTGAACCAACAAGGTTTGCTTTTCCTCCGCACACGTGGCGGGGATAATAGACTTGCACCATCGATGCCAGCCCTAAGTAATCAACGGGTGCATCGGAGAATTTCCGTGGAAAGCCTGCAAAGCTTGGGATGAGTGGCAATGGAATCTAGCATGATACAGCTGTCCCCCTCCCAAGCTCCCAGACAAAGTCTAGATTTTGCACCAACGTTGCGCCAATCCTTGAGACCATTATAGACGTTACAGGGACCTGTACATCGCCAACCAACTTGGGTTTGCGTACAGTAAGCATGGCGAGATTGTTGGGTGGCAGTGCCAGGGCTGAGGGTCCGCTTTGGGCTAGTGCCTTGCGATTGAATAGCAGGATGGGTGTAGTATTACTACTACTACTACTACGACTTTCACACTTGCGTATGCAGGTTCAAGACTCAAGAATGAGGATGAAAAGAGAGTAGAGCCGCTCCCCTGGTGATTGCCCCGACGTATCCCATGATGTCGGGTTCCAAGTGCCAAACTTTACACTGTCATGTTGCATAAGTTTTTCTGCATTACCTGAGCCGTGTGGTGGACATCGGACAGTAAGCTGTCTGAGGTCGGTCACAATACTTCAGCTTTGGTAAATCCAGCAGCCTTGGACGTGACAAAACGCTACCGCTGCATACGTGCTATGTAGTCACGAGTAGTAGCTGAGCCATGTATGTATGCAGTCGCCATCACCACTACCACCGCCGCTTGTTCTTGGTGACTTTGAGCTATTCCTCAACCATACATCAATGCCCAAGAAATCTACACCAGATGATGCCCGTTTAGGATACTCCTGAGTCTCGATTCCGCAGTGCTTGTGTAAAATGTTGACACGACCCCTGGGGGTGGTACCTAGGAAGACGATTGGGCAGTCGAACCGTGGTTGAAAATTGTAAGCGGAG